TTTTACTTGAGATTGCTCTAACATTTAAAAGTGCCATATTCAATGAGTGTGGGCCACTCTGCCCCTGAGGCATCTGCCTCGAGGTAACCAATAACAACCAAATTATTAACGTTACAACCACGTTTTCTAACAGTCTCCAATCTATCAGAATGGTAGGAGATGACAGTTTATATAAACTCACTAGAAGGCGGAGTTAAAGGAACATAAATTAGGTTACTCACAATAATCATAGTGCCATTTCTACAGGAGTTGATATGCTTTCCAAGTCCTTTGTTGCTTATTCTGACAGGGAGAACTGGTGCACTACAACATTGCAGAACCAAATATATTTTTGTAAACTTAAGTTTATAATTTTAATTGAGAAAATAAAGATAAATGGCATGGACAAAATTATTGACAGCCCGGAGCTAGCACTTGGCCCTCCATCAACTAGTGTTTTCAGATGTCGCTATAGGTTTTGGATTTGATTCAGATCTGGACTCTTAGCTGGCCACTCCAGAACAGTCCAGCATCTCTTCTTGAACCATTCCTGGGTGCGTTTTGGCATCATTGTCCTGCTGGAAGGCCCAGGAAAGAGACCAATCAGCAGATTATCAAGCTGTTTTGGAGTGCAATGTTCAACCCAGTGTCCAAAAACTGTCTCTCTGTTGAAGGTTGTGGGTGTTCAATCAGGACAACAACCCCAAACACATCAAAAGCACCATGGAATGGTTCAAGAAGAAACTGTTCTGGAGTGGCCAGCGAAGAGTCCAGATCTTTACCACAACCATAACCTAAATCAAATCAAAGTTTATTGGTCACATACACAGTTTAGCAGATGTTATAGCGGGTGCAGTGAAAAGCTTATGTTACTAGGTCCTAACAATGCAGCAAAATGTCAAACAAGTACACAAATAAATCAAACACATAATAATCAAGAAATGACAACCGCTGAATACAGCAGTTGGTGGAGGGCATCCATTGAATAATTAGAGCTGTTTGCTGTTGAAGACTGGGCCAAATTGCCAGTAGAAAGGTGCCACAAGCTCATTGATGTCTACATCTTCAAGAAGCATTTGACTGCAGTTATCTTGGCCAAAGGCTGTACAACAAAGTGCTAGCTCCAGGGTGTTCATTTTGTCCGTGCCATGTCTTTATTTTCTAAATTAAAATTGTAAACTTAAGTTTACAAAAATATATTTGGTTCTGCAATTTTGAAAAATCCAATAACAAGGTTTGGAGACAACAGTTTTTTCAATTTCAACTTATTTTAGAAGAAATAATGTAATTTAATTATGAAGAAAAGTGCAAGGGTGCCAGTATATTTGGCCGCAACGGTTTGTGGATAGACAAATGTCACGGAAAATAATTGACTAAAGTCTCTAATTTATTCTCTTCTTATAGGTTAAAGATCTGCATGGTCATGGATCTGATTTCAAACCCTACAGGTCCCCTTTCAACCCAAAAAGCTAGACCGTGTGGAGAAAATGACAGTGTAAGTTATTGCAAATAATTATTGGAAACCTGGTGTTATCCGCAGAGACTGCTTTAAGTGATACATTTCCTCTTTTCCAAGTTGGAGAGGTGCAGGCCAAGATGTGTGTGCTCTTGCTCCATGTCAAGTCATATGTAGACGCATACTAGACAGTGAAGTAAACAGCCTATACATTGCAGTCTCAACTGGCCAAACCAAACTACAAATATGGGACAGATGAATATCTATCTCTGCATAAACGTACCCCAATTTCTCAACGCCGGTGTACAGTGGCCAGCGCTACCTCACCACCACCAAAGACACAACAATCTCTTAAATTGATGACATCCCTGTTCCTGGGATGAGCATGCCTACAGAACTATGAAAGGGCTTGCTACTTGTCAACTTTAACTGTTAGCCTTGAAGTCAGGACAACAGAAGAATACCTTCATTCTCACCAATTCAGTACTGAAGTCCTACCTGACCCAAAGAAACCTGCTTCATCTTTTGGATGATGTAGAATATGTTGGACAAAAGAGGGGCCAGACATCTGGTTGAAACGGGGGCTTAACTTACTGATTTCGCCTCGTTTGTCCGGCTCCTCAAAGATATGCTAGAAGCCATGATTGAAACAAACACGTTTTTCTTGGGGGTGTGGTTTGATATGGGTGTTTCTTGGGTGTGTCCTTTCCACCACCAAGACACACCCGTCTGTCAGACCCTTGCCCACAGCAGTTTCCCCTGGGCTAGCCACTGGTCATGGTCCGGATGGGCACTGGCCCTGAGCCATATTACCTGGAAGCGGTGACCTAGAGACCCGGCCAGGACCCTGCCCATCTCTTGCTGTGGCTTTCAGGCTGCTGAAGAGCGGGGAGCCGAGGACAGATCTGTCAAACAACTGAGAAACAGCATATACTAGAACTTTTACCCCCATCATTTAGGTGTCAGTTCTCTAAAAAAGGTTGTCTTTCAGGCGTACCTCATTGCAGAGATCCCACGTTCCAGCCAAAAGAATGCTACACTTTTGCCCTGATTTAGTCTGTTGGTCTTCAGCCGGAATGTGAAAAGGCTGTTCCGTTGAGGGTTCTTTCAGCATACCACATAAAACATTTTAGCACTGAAAGTTGATTGTTTTTGGTTGTGGTAATATCACTATACTATGAGTCATTATAGATGAGCATTGCCTTGTATTGATGAAGCAGTTAGCCTCTTGGCCTAGACTTCGTGATAGAGGTCTCAGAACTTGTAAGCCAATGACCAATCAGAGAAAGAAACAAAGATACACAGGTTTCAGAGGTGGAGAACTGATCCACTTTATTGATTGGTCTGAACTCTTGTAATATACTACTAAGAGACATTGTGTGATGTCTTGCATTTCAACATCATGGGATACACGGGTTTTGAAGTCTGACATTTTTTTACAGACAAAAAAAAGTTACCACGATGTTTGACAGATTTGGTGCCTCCGAAATGGCACCCTATTCCCTATCCGAAATGGCACCCTATTCCCTATATAGTGCACCGACTCTGTTCAAAAGAAGTGCACTATATAGGGAATAAGGTGCAATTTTGGACACAGACAGAGCTGAAAAGTTGCACTTAGTCTTTTCCGGCTTCATTTCGATTTATTTTTTAAGATTCAAGTTTCGTAACCTTTTTGTCATTGCCGTTGTAAACACTTGACATCCCATCAAAAATAGGATGAATAAAACTGATGTTGAAAAGATAGAAAATAAAAATCTGAACATCAGCTTTAGGACTTTAAAGAATTCAAAAGCAAAATGAAACTGAAAAAAACAAGGAAATATCAGATTTAGAGCAGATTGGGATTATTTAAGCGAAGCAAAAGCTGAGAGAACCAAAAAACATGGTATGCTTTCACATATCCGAAAAAGGGTCTTGCAATGGAACATTACTGTCATGTTGACCTAGTCTTTTGACTAAACGGTTGATATTCATCTAGGATATTAATAGAGAATAGATTAAGAGGCAATGGACTTGAATAGTCACCATGACTGCAAAAAAGCAACTCTTCCTTAACAACTTGACCGTACCATACACAAAAGTACAACTGAATTGCATGTGTCACACTACAAAACCATGTACCAGCTACAAAAGAAGACAGGAACTCAGTCATAAACATCCAGGTTTCCATTAATGATGGGCAAAGTCAAAGCACATCTCAGTACAATCCTCTGCAGGAGCTTGAATAAGTTATATAACAGGTAGTATGCTTTTGTTGTCAAAGGTTACAAAGCAAAAAGTGCAACAATGGTGCAGACCATTCTTTATGTTTGGTTAGTTTTGTATTTTTTTTGTTGTCTAAAAACGTAAAAGACAAATCACACAGATCAGTTCACTGTCAGGACAGTATAAAAAAAAAAATGATAAGAGGGACTACGGAAACAAAACAAATATAAACATTAAAAAACAGTAACGTATTTCTCTGAGAAAATTATTTTTTCAAGCTGCCTCCTTTTTCTCCAGCCACAAGGCATGGGCGAATCTTGGGTGAAGGTTCCTGACACACTTTAGTTACCATGACAACATGGGTTGCAGAGTACTGTAAGTAGAACATTCTGCACTGGTTGGAAACCCTAGAGAGACAGCTACGGGTCAGACTGTGTGCCATACAGTACACCCACCTTGGTGGTGGTCAGCTTAATCCAAAAACAATTGGCTCAATGACAGAGTTCAGATCAACATGGGGGCCCAGAAGTAAAGTAGTCACAAGGAGAAGGAACAACAAGCTTATTAGTCTTCTTTCACCTTTCTGCTTGCTCCTACACCAGTGTTCTCAACTTGTTCCAAAGATATTGGTTTTGTTTTTCTCAATGGTGCGGTGACTGACTGACAAAAGCTTTCTTTAAGTTCTAGATCAGCAGAAATATTGTTACATCCATGCATCATCTTTCTCCACATTGTTGCAAAGACAGGCATCAAATTACAAATGCACAATTAAAATGTTAACATGTGTGTTTGTTTCATTCACTTATGTCAACAATGTTCAGGCTTTGGTGGTGCTTGGTGGTCAGGTGGATAGGGGGCCTCTGTGTCTCTCAGCTTCACTGTGGTGCAAATCAGGATGGGGGGTAAGAGATGGACAGGGAGAGTGACTGATATTCAAGATTAAACCCCGCTCCTCCCCCATTCATTCAAAAACAAAGTGGATCCATTTAAAAGCAACATTAAAATAAGAATGAAGTGAAGAAAAAATAAACTGCAAAAGGTTACTCTATTTACATACAATGATTTCTTATAGACAAAAGCATTTCTTTCCAGAAATCAAACAATTTCCCCCCAAAGAAATGTATTTTGTGTTGTTTTTTCATCTTTATACATTACAAGTTCTTCATCTTTATCTTTCATAATGTCCTCCACTCAGGCTTCCTCTGTCCTGACAGGCTGTCTGCCAAAGCTTCTGAACATAAAAGGAGTCAGTCAGTCTATCCTGAAGATTAAAGCCTGTCAGCAGTCACTCGCTGCCTTTCTTCCTGCTGGCAGTCAGAGGGCGCTGTTGCACCAAAAGGGACACCCCCCCCCACCTCCTGTTCTCCCCACACTCATTCAGCACCAGTGAGTGAGGCTTGTTTTGGGGGGAGGGGGTGGGCAGGCGGGCCTGTACTGAGAGGCCTGCCCTTCCTCTGAGGTGGGATGAGGGGCAGGTAGGGCTCTAGTGGCAGGGCTCAGTCGTCGCTGTCTGACAAGGTCTCATACTGCTCCGACAGTAGGGGCTCCCGCTCCCACACACGCTGCTGCTGCTGGCACCCCGGAGGGCCTCCTGGTGGGGGCTGCTGGGCCTGCATGGAGGGGGAGGCCATGGAGGTGGGGGGTGTGCTGCTCAGCATGCGCATGGTCAGGGGGTTATAGGGGAACTGCATAGAGCCTGGAGAGAGAAGTGAGACAGGATAGTCTTTAGAGGGATTTTTCTTATTTAGAAAATCCTGATTTCTGAATTCCTGTGTGGCTGTTAATGTGATATTGTGTACACAGACAAACAGAGACCCAGAGTTTAAACGGTTCTTGGGTCCTACCTGTGGACGAGGGCCGGTCCTCCCAGGCCCAGCCCGGGGCCTGTCGGTGGTAGTCTCCCTCTGAGTGGACGGAGGACACTGACGAGGGCCGCTCCCCTCCTGCTGCATATGCCTGGCCTGGGTTGGGCGACTTGGACTTCCGGCTGTTGGCTTTGCTCTGCAGTTTCTGCTTGCCTGTTGTGTTAGCAATAAGTTCAAGTTTTATTTGCACAAGTACAGTGAAATGCTTAACTTGCACCCTATCCAACAGTGCAGTATTCAATAACTAGAAGAGAAAGCTATATACAGGGTCAGTGCCAATACCACATTTACAATGTGCAGGGATACTGGCGTATTCAAGGTGGATATGTACATGTAGGCAGGGATTAGGAGAAAGTGACTGGTAGCAGGATAAATAATAATAATAGTACAATAACAGTATGGCAGCAGCATATGTGGTGGGTGTGTGTGTAAATGTGTTGAGTTGTGACTATTCTAGAGAGCTTGTTCCAAATCTCAAAATGGTGGGTGTCCACCCACTGCCCAGAGTTGGTGAAAACGTGCTTTGGTGATGAAATTTCACTTCCTTATGTTATAAAATACATTTTACCAATACAAATATGATTCTTCATGTTCTGCATCGTTCAGTGGCATCCTTCTCGAACATATCATGAACATTATATCCAAAAAGTAGGATTTCGTAACCTAACACATCCGACAATAACCACCGAGCGACTTTTGAGGATTTTACATGTTGCGATGGTCTTCTGCAGTTGTTTCCGCGGGTCGCAAAAAGCAAAATTAACATAACGAGCTGAATTAAATGTAAAAGGCTTTGAAAATAAAAAGCTTGCGGTACGCTCAGTGCTCCGTTGACATTTCACAGAGATACGCTTGTTTTTGAGAAATCCTTTAAAAAAAATAACAAGAATTTCGCATTAATATGAAAAGCGTACACTAAAATATGAACATTCTATATATGTCATGTCTCAAAATCGATCTTACCTCTATATTGTTTTATGTCCTACGGATTCGAGAAGAAAGATAACGAGTTCAACGGTGAGCCTGTCAGTTTGCCTTAATTCTCTCACAGCATCCAGCCTAGCTGACGCAAATACTATTTTCCAGATATTTTACAACTTTTTTTCTCTGGCCTCCATTGATTTAAGCCCAATTCAGACAGGATACATTTTACTGGGGGAACTCAGGTAATGTAATTATGTGCACGAGCACAAATCACCACATCCATCATTTTAGTTCCGTCCGAATCTGCCATGTCAGTAATTTTCACTTGGCAGGAAGGTTATTATCCCAGCCCTAAAAACCTACTGTTTTTCGGCAAACGCAAAGGTCCTCTGATAATACAAATCCCGTGCGAATCGTCATCCCTGTGTTTTGAGGGATATTACGGAGTTGAACAGGTGCAGCACCCAGTTTGGGTAAGAACATGGGAACACATTGATGCTTAAAACAAAGTGCTATGCACGTAGCCTACATGTGAATGATCTGTTTTGTCATATCAACTTTCCTAGTGCCTTACTTCTCCTTTAAAAAGATGAAGTGGACGATATTGTACCAATGAATTGATAAATTGCCAAATAGGTCAGGTAATTAAATGTCTGCATAGGTTACAGTTCATGGTTCTTATTGATTTGCATTATTATTTTGACATTCTCCGAATTTAAGGACATTTGAAATATCTTCACACCTAGAAGAGCCTCCAAGCTTCTGTCATAACGGTCAATTACAGGGGCAGTGTGGTAAAACTAATCTCCTCTGAATCATCCACTGGAAAAACAAACATGCTGGGGTAATAATTACATAACTGATGTTGTATAGTAATACTAGTCCCATGTGAATAGGGCTTTAGTCACCCTAATCTTGGCCACCCTACAAAGGGTAAGAAAAACTCCTCATAACCTTTGAACCGATTATGATAGAGACCATTGGTTTTCTGAGTATCTACACAATTAACATTATTTTACCCATTTGTCAAAATATTTTTGATTGGACACCCTACAAAGTACACTATTCCAATGGACCTTTAGAGACAGACAGGGTTAAAATGAGTGTGTGAGTGTGGTGTGTGTATGTAAACACATAAATGTGTATGTTTACTCCTGTATAGTGGTTTCAGTCTGCTGTGTGTGGTTGTTTGCCACTGACCCATGCTAGGTGAGGGGTTGGCCTCCTGGCGGGCCTCATTGCTGGGGGTGTTAGAGCTGGGCTGAGGCCCTCCCTGGTGCTCCTCTGGCCTTTCTTCCAGGTTGCCCATCAGGGCCTTCCGGATTATGTCCTCCAGGCCCAGGTTACTGGCCGGGTCGCTGAAGGAGTGGTTCCTGGGGTTCACGCTGCCTGGAGGGCCAAACACGCACACAGGATGAGGGGGAAGACATGGAACAGCCATCACGGTCATGTTCATTAGGGTATGCAATTTATTTCATGACATTTTTGGCTGGTTTAAATGATTCTAGTATGTTTGAATATGAGTATATGGTGATATAATAGGATCCTATGGTGTTAGATATGTTTATATTCACTTGAGCTGGTCACAGCGGGCAAATTGAAGATCTCTGTGCCTGGTTGTGCATTTCCTGAAAGGAGAAACAATAGCATAGTTCAGTTAGCAAACAAAATGTCTGACTGCAAACTAAAATGATGCTAAAAGACAGAGTTAGTCGTTTTACAGTATTTCTTCCTATTACAATGTTTTCCGTTGTTAAATAAGAAATGAGTGCAATGCACAGAAAATATCCTTGAAATGAATAAAAATACAGTGTGAATTGAGTTCCATCAAATGTTATATTTTTTCCATCTTGGAATGCTTTCTTAAATGATGTTAGTGCAAGGAAGATAAGAAGAGAGGCGACTTACCAACATCAGAATCCCCGACACCAGAGGAGTTTAACTTGCGAAATATCTCCTGCTTCTTGGATTTCACCATAGGGGAGGTGTTCTCCAGCTTGGTGAAGAAGGAGGGCAGGTAGCTGACACTGCCAGGGGAGCGAGAGTCACCCCTGTAACCAGAGAAAGGCCACCACGAGGTTAAGAGTCAGGCAGCAGAGGGCTGATTAGGCTAGCGTGCCACTGGCACCTCTCCCCAGTTTCCACTCTGTTAGCATGCCAAACGGGTCGCAGCTGCCCACAAGGCACATTCTGTCCAATGGCACTGAATGTATCCAGTATCCACACGCACAAATGCACGTAGACATACAAAATAAATCGGTGTCATGCTTTTCGGTTTGTCAACTTAAAGACCGAAACATACAAATGTGTCTAGTGATATAATTGAAAGTTCCGTTAGGTCAGGGGTGTCATTCCATGGAGGGCCTAGTGTCAGCAGGTTTTTGTTTTTTATTTCCAATTAAGCCCTAGATAACCAGGTGTGGGGTGTTCCTTACTAATTAGAGATCTTAATTCATCGATCAAGTACAAGGGAGGAGCGAAAACCCGCAGACACTCGGCCCTCTGTAGAATGAGTTTGACAAGTGTGCGTTAGGTGAACATAAAGAAATGTGAGTGCGCCCACTACTTAAGAAGATATGCCAGTCCTACACACCTCATCTCAGGCTGGTCAGCCTCTCGTCTCTGGGGTTGTTGCTGCTGCTGCTCTCTGGTCTCCTGTTGTTTATCCTGATAGCTCTGGGGAGGGGAGATGGGCTCATAGCTCTCCACCGCCCCCCTGCCACCCCGATCAGGGGATTTACCAGGTCTGGGGGAGGGAAAGAGGAAGAGAGGGAAAAGTGAGAATTTGATGGAATGGACAGGGGTGCACCACCAGGTTTATGTTCATTAGGGAGAAAATGTTTTGCATGGAGGTACAACCTGAACTTGTCAAATAAGAACATAGGTTTTTGTTCACTGTTGCTGTACCTGGCTCTGGGCTTGTCAGGGGCGTTCTCCGGAGACACTCTGCTGGGTGTGGGTCTCTGGTGGTGTGATGGGGCTTGGGTCTGGTTCTCTGGGCTGTAGCGGCTGTGGCCCTTGGCACGGCCCGAGCTAGATACTGGCAGCTGGGCGCTCTGGAATGTGGTGGAGGACTGAGGAGGGTCCTGGTTCCTGGCAAAGTCCTGGGTGATGATATGCTATAAAGGAGAAAGAGGAGAGGACAAGGGGACAGACAGATCAGGGAGATGTTATTACTTGGAGGCATATATACATTTTCAGTCTCTACTCTTAAATGTTTGTATCTAAAGTTGTCTAGTAGAGGCTGTTGTCAGAGTTGTTGAGATCATCATTTGCAGTTCAGTCGATGGATCACTCAAGATATCATCACTCAACAAAAAGTGGTATAGGAGGCATACTGTACATTAATTGTTGGTAAAGGCATTTGTATTGGTTACACAGTACATGGATTGTTTGCCTTAGGAACCCAGTTAAAAAGGGCTATGAATGAACAAGTCATTGGGGTCTGCTTCAGTCAGTGGGTGTGTTCCAGGCTGACAACATTGCAGTTGCCTGCCAGAACTCACGCCTGGATAGATGTTTAATATCAGCTAACCACAAAATATGATATTGCAATCTGATGCCCGACTGCGCAGGCAATGATATGGCATGCAACCGTGGAAAGCTACCAGTGTGTCTTACCGAGATGTGGTCAGCCAGGGTCATGACCCGGTGGGTCTTGGGGACCTGCTGGGACTGGGAGTACCCTCCGTCAGCCTGGGAGGAGGGGGGCTGCTGTGACTCCGCTGACTGTCGGTAGCGGCTCATGTCGAAGGGACGCATGCCAGCTGCTGAGTGAGGATAACACACACACACAGTTAGCAGACTGAGTTGGGGAGGGAGGAGGGAGGGTAGAGAAATGTCGGAGAGAGTAGAGGGTGATATATGGGAAGGGAGGAGAGGGTGATATATTGGGGAGGGTGGAAGGAGGGGTAGCACTGTACTATATGTCAACAGCAGCTGAGATACATTTGCCTCCAGTGGACAGAAATAGCTTGTGGAGCGGTCTGGTGACCAGATGGGAGCTTGTGGGGAATGGAATGGTGTCGTCTGCTCTATCTGTCGTACTTAGCTGACAAGGTTACTGGGCTGAGGAGTCATTCGGGACATGTTAGGTAACTTAAACATTGCATAAGGAAACCAGTACTTGAGAAAGAGAGAGCTTGAGAGCTTCAAGAGAATACTTCAAGTCTCCATATGACATCTATAGAGCTTTACCAGTCAGCAAGGGCCAGTTTCCAAGACACATTAAGCCTGGTCCTTGACTAAAATGCACTTTCCATGGAGATTCGCCATTGAGTAAGCTTTTCAGTCCAGGTGCAGGCTTAATATTTGCCAAGTAGCTGAACTCCTCCGCGTAGGTTGAGCACAGACTAGAGTTTTTTTAATGAACATCCGACTCGCTATGCGACGATACTTCAAAAATGTAAATTCTTAAACACTAACTGTGTACCCATGTTTGTCCTCTCTCAAATAAGAACACATGTTTTTGTTCTCCATTTGCTATGGTGTACCCTACTAAACAGGCTGGCTTGGTCAAGAGCTGTTTTTGTACCTAGCTCTGGGCTTGTCAGGGTCGTTCTCGGGAGACACACCACTGACTGTTTCCTCATTGCTGTTGCTCTAAGATGGCAACTCAGCGCGAATGTGCATGTGCCAATTGAATCTCAACAAGGAAACAGTCGGTGGTTGTATTTGATTAATGTTTTATTAAAAGTATGTCAGAGGTTAATTGAAAAAAACTGTAGTATGTGCTCCGTGGAGGAGTTGAGGTACTTGGCAAGCTTAATCTGCTACTTGGCAAGCTAAACCAGCACTGAGAAGACATCCTATTATTGAACGGCTCACGGTATATAATGCTTTCTTCTTACCTTGTGATGCTGCCTGTGCGGCCCTGTCCCTGTCGGCCCTCTCCCTGTCGTCCTGCTGCTGCTTCTCCTGCTGGGCCTGGGCTGGAGAGTTGGCTGGGCTAATCACCTCGATGGCTCCTCCACTGGGGACCTCATACCGACTGGATGACACTGCAGGGCCGGGGAGGGACACACACACATTGAAAACAACCCTCTCACTGACATACGAGGAGATATTATCATTTTCAATTTTTTTGTTATTTGCTATGTTGTTAAGTCTTACATATTAGAAATGCTGGGAATTAAAACGCGAACCAAATCTATATCCAGGTGTCCACCCACCCTAGCAGTATTACAGTACTGGCTCCATCCTATTTGTTTCTGTATATAGTGTCAATGTTATATACTGTTCCCTGTTCTATGTTGTTCTATGTGGAAGACTCACAGCTGCTGGAGGAATCGGAGCTCTGGGAGCCTCTCTCCCGTGAGTCCTTGTCCGAGGCGATCTGACGCTTGATGATGACGTCGATGAAGTTGGCGGCCGTGATGGTGGTCTTTCCTCTGGTCCTCAGCTCCTCCTCGATGCGTGACTTGGTGGGGGGACCCTTGTCCTTGCTCCCCTGGGGACCACCGGGACCCTCAGCGTATCCTGGGTGGGGTTTCCCCCCTGGCAGAGACATGTAGGGAGACTGCATGGAGCGCCTGTCTGCCTCCTGCTGCTGCTCGTGCTGCCGCCTGGTCACCGCCACAGGGGATGATGATGATGAAGACATATCGTCGTCTTGATCGTGCTTGGAGGAGTCCTTGCCCTTGTTGACGTCCATCTGAGGGGCGGAGGCGGCAGCGTCCACCAGGGCAGCCAGGGCGTCGGCTGCAGTGCTGTAACGAGATCCTGCCTGGGCTGCTGCTGCTGACGGCCTGGACGGGGCAGAGAGAAGTTGAGGGTTAATATTATGTGTTTTTATATATATATACAGTCATGGCCAAAATCGTTGGCACCCCTGACATTTTTCCAGAAAATGAAGTATTTCTCACAGAAAAGTATTGAAATTACACATGTTTTGCTATGCACATGTTTATTTCCTTTGTGTGTATTGGAATAACACAAAAAAAACAGGAAAAAAGCAAATTTGACATAATTTCACACAAAACTCAAAAAATGGGCCGGACAAAATGATTGGCACCCTTAACTTAATATTTAGTTGCACACCCTTTGGAAAAAATAACTGAAATCAGTCGCTTCCTATAACCATCAATAAGCTTCTTACACCTCTCACCCGGAATTTTGGACCACTCTTCTTTTGCAAACTGCTCCAGGTCTCTCATATTGGATGGGTGCCTTTTCCCAACAGCAATTTTAAGATCTCTCCACAGGTGTTCAATGGGATTAAGATCTGGACTCATTGCTGGCCACTTCAGAACTCTCCAGCGCTTTGTTGCCATCCATTTCTGGGTGCTTTTTGAAGTATGTTTGGGGTCATTGTCCTGCTGGAAGACCCATGATCTCGGACGCAAACCCAGCTTTCTGACACTGGGCCCTACATTGCGACCCAAAATCCTTTGGTAATCCTCAGATTTCATGATGCCTTGCACACAGTCAAGGCACCCAGTGCCAGAGGCAGCAAAACAACCCCAAAACATCTTTGAACCTCCACCATATTTGACTGTAGGTACTGTGTTCTTTTCTTTGAAGGCTTCATTACATTTTCGGTAAACAGTAGAACGATGTGCTTTACCAAAAAGCTCTATCTTGGTCTCATCTGTCCATAAGACGTTCTCCCAGAAGGAATTTGGCTTACTCATGTACATTTTGGCAAACTGTAGTCTTGCTTTTTTATGTCTCTGTGTCAGCAGTGGGGTCCTCCTGGGTCTCCTGCCATAGCGTTTCATTTCATTCAAATTTCGACGTATAGTTCGCGCTGACACTGATGCACCCTGAGCCTGCAGGACAGCTTGAATTTCTTTGGAACTTGTTTGGGGCTGCTTATCCACCATCCGGACTATCCTGCGTTGCAACCTTTCATCAATTTTTCTCTTCCGTCCACGTCCAGGGAGATTAGCTACAGTGCCATGGGTTGCAAACTTCTTGATCATGTTGCGCACTGTGGACAAAGGAACATCTAGATCTCTGGAGATGGACTTGTAACCTTGAGATTGTTGATATTTTTCCACAATTTTGGTTCTCAAGTCCTCAGACAGTTCTCTTTTCCTCTTTCTGTTCTCCATGCTTAGTGTGGCACACACAGAAACACAATGCAAAGACTGAGTCAACTTCTCTCCTTTTTATCTGCTTTCAGGTGTGATTTTTAGATTGCCCACACCTGTTACTTGCCCCAGGTGAGTTTAAAGGAGCATCACATGCTTGGAACAAACTTATTTATCCACAATTTTGAAAGGGTGCCAATAACTTTGTCCGGCCCATTTTTTTAGTTTTGTGTGAAATTATGTCAAATTTGCTTTTTTCCTGTTTTTTTTTGTGTTATTCCAATACACACAAAGGAAATAAACATGTGCATAGCAAAACATGTGTAATTTCAATACTTTTCTGTGAGAAATACTTCATTTTCTGGAAAAATTTCAGGGGTGCCAACAATTTTGGCCATGACTGTATATATATATATATATATATATATATATATATATATATATATATATATATATAAATAACCAGTCAAAAGTTTGGAGACACCTACTCATTCAAGGGTTTTTACTATTTTCTACATTGTAGAATAATAGTGAAGACATTAAAACTATGAAATAACACATATGGAATCATGTAGTAACCAAAAAAGTGTTAAACAAATCAAAATATATTTTATATTTGAGATTCTTCAAATAGCCACCCTTTGCCTTGATGACAGCTTTGCACACTCTTGGCATTCTCTCAACCAGCTTCACCTGGAATGCTTTTCCTACAGTCTTAAGGAGTTGTATATATATCTGTATGTATGTGTGTACAGTTGAAGTCGGAAGTTTACATACACCTTAGCCAAATACATTTAAACTCAGTTTTTCACAATTCCTGACATTTAATCCTAGTAAAAATTCCCCTTTAATTGCGCATCTGACCCTTTAATTGTGCATCTAGTGAGTGAGGAATGTGGCGTCTAATGTGCCTGTCTAGCGATGGTTCTGTACTGCTGCTGCTCAATTCATGGCAAAGTTTGCAAATAACAAATAATAGATACAAATTATATACTTCCTCATGATATACTTCTGCCAGGTAAGCCTACTTTGCAGTTAACATTTAATTGAGAACGTTTTGGGGAAAACATTTCTGTCCACCCACAAGACAGTTATCACATCAACTGGCTATACATGGAGTGATAGATAACCGCGCCAGACAGAATGGGGCAATCTTGCTTGAAATGAATTAGCAGATACTGTGTTAGGTTTGGCTTTTTAAGACAATAGTGGCTAAACAGGGGTGGGATAATGTCAATGTTGCGTTGATTAGATCAGGGGTTCCCAAACTTTTTCCACTCGGGGACCCCTTGCAGCATTGGGGAACATCCCTGGGCCCCCCCTGCGCGTGTGCGCCACATCTATTTTTATGGGAAAAAGCACTGTTCATTACACAAACTGTTCACACCCCTCTTGTTGGTGGAGAGAATTTAGCAGGTTTAAAGCTTATTTCCTGCAATTCTACACAGCTTGTCATGGGGTGCAAATATTGTTTTGAAGTTTAAAGCACATTTTCTTGGAATTCTATACATTTTGGTATGCCTAATGTGTATTCATGTGATATTTGAGTGACAAAAATGACAATATCTATGGGCTAAAAAACCTAAATAAAAAAACGTTAGCTGACATGGGCTAGTTGTTCTGGACATTTCTGACAGTCATAAATAGCTCTCTAAGGTATGCAATGACTAACATGACAAGAGGAACTGTTGATGCACTACCCAATTTCGAAATGGCACCTTGTGCATTCTACCCTGTGTGCCCCCCCTGCTGACCCCTCGCGCCCCCCCTAGATACTTGTGAGATTTGTTTATGACAGTTTGTCTGTGTTCTTTTGCCCATCCTAATGTTTTCTTTTTATTGGCCAGTCTGAGATATGGCTTTCTCTTTGCAACTCTGCCTAGAAGGGCAGCAATTTCTCACATGGAATAGCCTTCATTTCTCAGAACAAGAATAGACTGACGAGTTTCAGAAGAAAGTTCTTTGTTTCTGGCCATTTTGAGCCTGTAATCGACACCCACAATTGCTGATGCTCCAGATACTCAACTAGTCTCAAGAAGGCCAGTTTTATTTCTTCTTTAATCAGCAGTTAAAGAATAGTTTTCAGCTGTGCTAACATAATTGCAAAAGGGTTTTCTAATGATCAATTAGCCTTTTAAAATGATTAAACCTGGATTAGCAAACACAACGTGCCATTGGAACACAGGAATGATGGTTGCTGATAATGGGCCTCTGTACGCCTATGTAGATATTCCATAAAAAAATCAGTCGTTTCCAGCTACAATAGCCATTTACAACATTAACAATGTCTACACTGTATTTCGGATCAATCTGATGTTATTTTAATGGACAAAAAAATGGCTTTTCTTTCGAAAACAAGGACATTTCTAAGTGACCCCAAACTTTTGAACAGTAGTGTGTGTGTGTATTTACCACAAAATATATATATATTTTGTGGTAAAACAAGGCAGAGAGTAAAGAGTAGAAGGGCTGTTATGTTATGTGAGCTTGTACGGGGTTTTCATTGCAAACAGCATAGCATTCTAAAACATAGTGCAGGCCAGTAAGCTCCAGACATGTGGTGCGGATTGCAACTGAAAGTGTGCACATAAGAATGGTTTAACAGTACACGTACAGGTTTTTTTCTGGATCGAAAAGGGGCTTAGGTGGTGGGCATGGGACGTGGTGTGTCAGGGGGCGTTGCAATGGGTGTGGTCAGCCCGTCTGGATTTTATAGATCATTTTAGAGGCCCCCATCTTGGCGGTGTAGAGAAATGTTGAAATATTTAAGCCAATTTCCTGCAATTCTATAAATTTCTCCATGGAGCTGAGAGAAAATGTTGCAGTTTAAAAGCAAATCTTCTGCTATTCTATACTTTCCACGGCTAATGCTGTGTTCTTTTTCTCAAACATAATAATAAAATCAATACTGCTAAATTCATTGTTTTTGGAATAAAAAAATTATCCCAACTGTATAGCTTTTATTCTGGCAATTGTTAGTTCTCAAAGATTATATAAAAAAAAATATATATAAGCCCATTATTATTTTCTACATACAGTACTTTATATCTGGTTTACACTGAAAGCGCTTTTTCCATTCCGAAAATGAATTAAAAAAATAAAAAAAAATTACCCTGTTTGGACTTGGGCGTCCCGAAACAACGCTTTGGCAGCTCGCCCACGGATTTCAATAGTAGAAAAATCCCTGACGTACCCACGCACTCTCTGAGTGTACGTGGGGTGAGGGCTTACAAGGCCAGAGCGGAGCAGGCTTAGACTCACATGAGAGGGGTGATGACGCCCTTGCTGTTGGCTCCTTGGAAGATGCTGGGCCGCTGCTGCTGGGCTTCCTGTGACCTCATAGAGGGGGAGGGGCTACGCAGGTAACCACGGCTACCTGGTCTATCTGGCTGCCCTGGACCTGGGGGAACAAACAAGAGCTGACTTCCATAAAAAAGAAAAGAGCAATTCAAAGTTGGAAGCTTATAAATGGCTATTCCACCACTATCCCAAAAGACAGGCTACATTAAAAATCCCTTAACTGAGAGAATTTGTTCAGCCAGGTTATATCAAAATAAACTACTATGAACTAGTTGGCACTGTATTGTTGATGACATTGTACAGCGCTATACAATATAATGGCATTGAGTCTCACCTCCACGCATGTAGTCATTGGCAACCGCTGCAGCCACCACTCGCTCACGCTCTCGTTGTCTGTGCTCCTGTTCCCTCTCTCTCTCCCTCTCCCTGTGCTCCCTTTCTCGCTCCTTTTCCCTCTCTTTCTCTCGATGCTCCCGATCGCGCTCCCTTTCTCTTTCGCGCTCCCTCTCTCGTTCTCGCTCCTGACAGGCCGCTGCTGTAGCTGCGAGGTGGGCTTGGTGGCCTGTGGACACAAAGAAACAGACAACACACACACACAGTAGGTTTACACACCGTCTCTACTTAGGGCACAGTCGCTGAGGGTTAGAAGGGTGGTTGGGCCGCCTTAAGCACACAGTGCTGTTGTGAATGCCTGACGACACAGAGAGGAGTGTCTTGCCTGATTGATTAGGATAGACAGCAGAGATGTTCTGGTTACTAACTTTGGTACTTTTTTACATTTCCCAATTAATGAGGCAAACTGAACGTCTGATTTTGGGTAGAGAAGTTACTGCAGTAGGTGTTTATTTAGATCTGGTCCATAGGTGTGTTCAGGTACGTTCAGAAGCACTCTGCAGCAGGGCAGTGCTTCAGGGGTTGAGGGTAGGAGGGGGGTATAAAGGAACAAGAGGGGTGTAAGGGAACAGGAAGGTCAGGTTGGGGTTGGGGCAGGGGGGTCCTCACCTGGAGATATGGAGGCTGGGTTGAAAGGCCTAGGAGGGAAAGGGGGTTGAGCTCCGGGGATGTAGGTGATGCGGTCCATAGTGGGAGGACCTGTTCCCCCAGGGTGAGGCAACAGGATAGTTGGAGGCATCTGGGCTAGATCAATAATCCCTTTTACAGACAGAAGCAAAGGGCCAAAGGTGAGCAACACAAACCAATTTGAAGAGGTCTGAATTAACAATTTATAAAATTGAGTCTTAGCTGTAGTCAGCTGCAGGCCCAGAATATACGTTAACAAATCAGCGATAATAAACTAAAAGAAAATTCAAAATCAATATGAGGCAATTTGTAAGGGTCATTTGCTTCTAGGCGTCTGGAAAAGGTAGCCACTAATTCACAAGCACACAGACTGCGTACTACCCCTCACCCCTCCCTCCCCTCCCTACCTCCCTCCCTCAGGTGAGAGAAGGACACACAGACAGCAGTCAGAGTCCAGTACCTCGTGCTCCGGGAGGATAAGAGATGGCAATCTGTTGCTGTTCCCGTGGCGACAGGCCCCTAGGAACGTCGGGCCGTGGGATAACCTGCATCTGCTGGGAGGTGATATAATCGTTGAGGATGGTCTGTCCTCGTGTTCTCCATGGTGTACAGCTGGTAGGTGTTGTGGTAGCCCGTCGGGGACGGCTGCCTCGGGAACATGTACGCAGCTGTAGGGGGAAGAGGAGAGGAGAGGTACAAACAGAGACCAAAAATATGAACAGCAGGCGAACAGATGGTGATTACTCTCTACTGACGTCAATGAACTCAACCTGAGACTGGACAGGACACTCAGTGCCTATGAATGAAAAATGACAAAGCTACCCCAGTTTACCCAGTCTATCATTCCAGGATTCAGGTCTACTATTGTGTTGTTCATGGAGGTTGGCCCAGGTTCATATAGTATCCTTTTTTTCCTGAATACTTTTGAGCATTTGACTGAGCCTGCATGGAGTGCCAGATGGGCAGAGTTTGCACTTTTGGGACTATTCCATCGGTTCCATTGCGCCAGGCTCACACAAAAAAATTAAAAATAAAAAGAATACTATTTGAACCCATGCTTGGTAGGTCAGGGTAACAGGGTGTGTGTGTGTGTCCTACCTGGGTCCAGGACGGCCCGGTGGAAGAGGGCAGGGTCTAGGTGTGGAGGCAGGTGGAAGCGGGGCTCTCCAGGGGCCATGGGGCGGTGGTGGGGGTCGAAGGGGCTGTGGGAGGCCATAGGGTGGTTGGGGTCACCCCCTGACACAGGGGACTTGGCTGGAACACTGTCCCTCTGATTGGGGGTCATGGCACTCTTCCTGTCGTGGGACGCAGGCTTCCCAGAGCCTGGATAGGGGAGGGAAATAACAATTACACAAATCTATAGAGTAAACATAACCATAAAACATAAATGTGTTCAACGCTTTCAATGTTTGCAAATTGTACTGATAAGATCTAAAGCCACACATCATTGCTTGTGAAGTGATTGCTGTACAATGAAATGGCCTCGTGCAAATACATCTGACAGAAAATCTATGAATTGAAAGTGAAGACTTTGAGAGAGAAGGTCAGACAAGACGTACCCTCCTGTCCTCGGCCCAGCATGGGCGAGCCTCTAGACATGGAGCTGGAGCTGTAGTTGACCGGGGTCCTGCGGGCATCTGTGTCTTGGTACATGCCCGGGCTGAGCTGGGACTTGCCTTGCTCCTGGTGCGTGGAACGCAGGACGGAAGTGGCTGAGTTGACCACAGAAGTGTGGCGCGCCCGTTGCTGCTGCTCCGCCGCCGCCTTGCTCTCCTCGTACTTGGCCCGCTCCATTGCCTCCAACTGGGGCATGGTGGGGCCCTGGGGCAGCCTAATGGGACTGGTGATCAGGGACTTGACGTTGTGCTTGATGGCCGACTGGCTCAGAGGATGGCCCTGGTAGAGAGGGAGAGGAGGCTGATACACGCACTAAACACACACACACACACAAACATGCGCTCTCCCTCACACACGCACACAGATGCAGAACACACACACACTTACCTGGGATATGGAGCCCTCCATGGCGGCTCGGTTGTTGGCAGCCATGTCGGGGGTCTTGCGGGGGTCCTGTCCAGGCTGGTCCTGACGGGGGATCTCGTGGATGGAGCGGCCCATCTCCTTAATGGTGTTCACCCCCTCATAGGGCTTACCTTTACCTATCCCCCCCTCAAATGAGCGGATGGGTGGGCTCTCCCTCTTTATCTGCTTGCCGTACTTCATGCTCTCCTCATAGGCCTCTGCAGAGGTTCTGGGTGTACCTGGAGTGGGAAGAGAAAAATAAATAAAACTTTTTTTTAACTTGGCTTAATGTGGGTTACATTTGCAGAGTAAAAATCATATTTGCTGAATTTAATTTAATGATTTACATAGGAGCTGTCTGCAGTCTAATTCTCTGATCTGCCAGGTTCTGGCTCCAGTACATCTGAGCTTTGTAGCTGCGATGATGTCACCTGATAACTTCATTACCTTGCATGATGGATCCAGTCATCATTGGCCTCTCCTTAGACTCCCCATGGGGACTTTCTCTGGGCAGGGCTCGGATTATCAACCCTGACAAACACACACACACACACACGCACACACAGTCAGTCACTATCACCTAGTGGCCTAAATATATGCAGAGATTAGGGTAGAAGACAAAATTCACTCTCTTACACACACACACACGCCTTACCCTCGAAGGGGGCTCCTTCTCTCCCGGTGTGGCCTCTGGCGGACTCCATCATATCGTGGGAGCGTTTGAGCTCATGGCCTGGCCTGGGGCTACACGTGGCCTCTCTTGGGTTCTTAATGGCTACGGAGACAGGAACACAATATATGCGTTCATTTAGGCAGATTTAGATATGCAGACCTAATTATTGCTACCAATAAATGCTGATGAATGCCTGACTTCAGATGCACACGGGTATCATTTTCACTGTCCCAATTGTCTAACTCCATGGGTAAACCAATGCCCAGGATAAAGTAATAGGCTCATACACAATGCAATGCAGCACATTTCCAGAAACTACTGTACTGTAGTATAAATCTGAAGTCCCATAAGTAACAGCCTACACTGAAACATATCAGATTTACAAGAGGATCAAGTCATGGAGTGACCACTAACAGAGCTTTGTATTACCGTCATAGGAAAGGATGTGTCCACTCTTGCCCTCGTAGATGACGTGTCCCTTGGCCAGCTGTTCCCGGTCCTTCTCTGGGCTGCTCAGGTCCTCTGTGGCCAGCTTGGTGATGGTGCCCTTCAGCAGGTCAGCCGCAATGCTGGACCCAGACAGGGCTGGCGTGCCCTGGTCACACAGAAGAGGGGGAGAGAGAGAAAGGGAGAGAAAGAAAGGTAAAGACTGACAGAGAGAAATGGGTCCAATTAAGGTCAGAAACCAGAAACAACAACTGTTTTATAATAATGTTTATTTTAACTTTTCATTAAAATAAATCTGCTCCAAAAATATTAGACTAATTCACAGTAAAACTGTGCTATTAGATGTCCATAGACAGGGTGGTGCTTGGATACACATACTGGTTAAGCAATGTTATTGTAATACAGTGCCTTGTAAAAGTATTCATCCCCCTTGGCGTTTTTCCTATTTAGAAGTACAGATCAGGGTTGGGTTATAAAAAAATATCTGAAACTTTGAACATCCCACGGAAAACCATTAAATCCATTATTAAAAAATTGAAAGAATATGGCACCACAATAAACCTGCCAAGAGAGGGCCGCCCACCAAAACTCACAGACCAGGCAAGGAGGGCATTAATCAGAGAGGCAACAAAGAGACCAAAGATAACCCTGAAGGAGCTGCAAAACTCCATAGCGGAGATTGGAGTATCTGTCCGTAGGACCACTTTAAGCCGTACACTTCACAGAGCTGGGCTTTACTGAAGAGTGGCCAGAAAAAGCCATTGCTTAAAAAATAAATAAGCAAACACGTTTGGTTTTCGCCAAAAGGCATGTGGGAGACTCCCCAAACATATGGAAGAAGGTACTCTGGTCAGATGAGACTAAAATTGAGCTTTTTGGCCATCAAGGAAAACGCTATGTCTGGCGCAAACCAAACATCTCATCACCCCGAGAACACCATCCCCATAGTGAAGCATGGTGGTGGCAGGGACTGGGAAATTGGTCAGAATTGAAGGAATGATGGATGGCGCTAAATACAGGGAAATCCTTGAGGGAAACCTGTTTCAGTCTTCCAGAGATTTGAGACTGGGACGGAGGTTCACCTTCCAGCAGGACAATGACCCTAAGCATACTGCTAAAGCAACACTCGAGTGGTTTAAGGGGAAACATTTAAATGTCTTGGAATGGCCTAGTCAAAGCCCAGACCTCAATCCAATTGAAAATCTGTGGTATGACTTAAAGATTGCTGTACACCAGCGGAACCCATCCAACTTGAAGGAGCTGGAGCAGTTTTGCCTTGAAGAATGGGCAAAAATCCCAGTGGCTAGATGTGCCAAGCTTATAGAGCCATACCCCAAGAGACTTGCAGCTGTAATTGCTGTAAAAGGTGGCTCTACAAAGTATTGACTTTGGGGTGGTGAATAGTTATGCACGCTCAAGTTCTGTTTTTTTGTCTTATTTTTGTCTTATTTTTTTTTCAAAGTGATAGGCATGTTGTGTAAATCAAATGATACAAACCCACCCCAAAAAATCTATTTTAATTCCAGGTTGTAAGGCAACAAAATAGGAAAAATGCCAAGGGAGGTGAATACTTTCGCAAGCCACTGTACCTGTGTGATTGATCCTCTGGCTGGGTTGCCTCTGCTGATACCCCCATCCATTGGGCCTCCTAGAAGGAAGACAACAGTCAGAGAAGTTGGTACAGTTGAAGTCGGAAGTTTACATACACTTAGGTTGGAGTCATTAAAACTTGTTTTTCAACCACTCCACAAATTTCTTGTTAACAAACTATAGTTTTGGCAAGTCGGTTAGGCCATCTACTTTGTGCATGACACAAGTAATTTTTCCAACAATTGTTTACAGACAGATTATTTCACTTATAATTCACTGTATCACAATTCCAGTGGGTCAGAAGTTTACATACACTAAGTTGACTGCCTTTAAACAGCTTGGAAAATTCCAGAAAATGATGTCATGGCTTTAGAAGCTTCTGATAGGCTAATTGACATTATTTGAGTCAATTGGAGGTGTACCTGTGGATGTATTTCAAGGCCTACCTTCAAACTCAGTGCCTCTTTGCTTGACATCATGGGAAAATCAAAAGAAATCATCCAAGACCTCAGAAAATTGTAGACCTCCACAAGTCAGGTTCATCCTTGGGAGCAATTTCCAAACGCCTGAAGGCACCACGTTCATCTGTACAAACAATAGTACGCAACTATAAACACCATGGGACCAAGCAGCCATCATACCTCTCAGGAAGGAGATGCGTTCTGTCTCCTAGAGATGAATGTACTTTGGTGCGAAAAGTGCTAATCAATCCCAGAACAACAGCAAAGGACCTTGTGAAGATGCTGGAGGAAACAGGTACAAAAGTATCTATATCCACAGTAAAATGGGTCCTATATTGACATAACCTGAAAGGCCACTCAGCAAGGAGAAGCCACTGCTCCAATACCGCCAAAAAAAAGCCAGAGTACGGTTTGCAACTGCACATGGGGACAAAGATCATACTTTTTGGAGAAATGTCCTCTGGTCTGATGAAACAAAAATAGAACTGTTTGGCCATAATGACCATCGTAATGTTTGAAGGAAAAAGGGGGGTGCTTGCAAGCCGAAGAACACCATCCCAACCGTGAAGCACGGGGGTGGCAGCATTATGCTGTGGGGGTGCTTTGCTGCAGGAGGGACTGGTGCACTTCACAAAATAGATGGCATCATGAGGAAGGAAAATTATGTGGATATATTGAAGCAACATCTCAAGACATCAGTCAGGAAGTTAAAGCTTGGTTGCAAATGGGTCTTCCAAATGGACAATGACCCCAAGCATACTTCCAAAGTTGTGGCAAAATGGCTTAAGGACAACAAAGTCAAGGTATTGGAGTGGCCATCACAAAGCCCTGACCTCAATCCTATAGAACATTTGTGGACAGAACTGAAAAAGCGTGTGCGAGCAAGGAGGTCTACAAACCTGACTCAGTTACACCAGCTCTGTCAGGAAGAATGGGCCAAAATTCACCCAACTTATTGTGGGAAGCTTGTGGAAGGCTACCCAAAACGTTTGACCCAAGTTAAACAATTTAAAAGCAATGCTACCAAATACTAATTGAGTGTATGTAAACTTCTGACCCACTGGGAACATGATAAAGAAATAAAAGCTGAAATAAATAATTCTCTCTACTATTATTCTGACATTTCACATTCTTAAAATAAAGTGGTGATCCTAACTGACCTAAGACAGGGAATTTTTACTAGGTTTAAATGTCAGAAATTGTGAAAAACTGAGTTTAAATGTATTTGGCTAAGGTGTATGTAAATTTCCGACTTCAACTGTATGTGTGGATATAGATGAGGGCTGTACAGTTGTTGGCATTATATTCCTGGTCAGAATCATTCAAGTCTAATTTTGATTTTCCCTCATTCTCCCGGAAGTTTGCACTCGTTGACTCCATCTCAAGGATTTAAAGTAATTGGTGTAAGATGGTACACTCTGGCTACACTAATGCAATGCTTTTAAATCTTTGTGGGGGAGTGAACAAATACACACTTCAGGGAGAATAGTAGAGCAATGGGCTGCAGCCTGAAAGAGAGAGACAGAGGTTTCCACACCACACCCCCATGTCACACCAGAGGTCAGTTGTGAGAGAAGGTGCGAGGAGGACTGCTGGTGAGAGGAGGTACTTTTTGAACTGGGGCTTGTGAGGTCTCTCTCCATCTCCCTCCCTCCTGATCTCCCTCCCTCCCTCACCAGCATGCCACATTCTGTCAGGTCTGTGCAAACAGAGGGCAGGAGGGAGGGAAGGAGGGTGGAGGCCAGACTCCTCCACTTCACTCTTCTCTTCTCGCTCTCTCCCACACTCAGCCTGCGATAAAGCTCTTTTCTGGGTTCAAATAGTATTTCAAGTCTTTAGTCTCAGAAATGCAAACCCCACCCATCTGGCAAACATTGAGTATTTCAAATATTTCAAATATGATTTGAACACAGGTGTGGTTTCTGGGTATTCACTGTCGGTATCAGCACTGTTTTGGTGAGAGTGTGAAAGAAGAAACACTCGGGAGGCAAGGACAGACAGGATGACAGACAGACACCTTTGTGAGATGGACAAACAGACAGACACACACCTCTGACTACCCCCTCATACTGCATCTGGGAGAGGAGGCCCTCAGACTGCCCACGTGGAGAACACTCCTCCTGCTTAATGTAGGACACTGGGGAGAGGGAGGGAGGGAGGGAGGGAACAGGGGACAGTTAGGGAAGGCAAGTGAAGTGGGACATTTGGGACTGTGACATCAGGTCTGAATGTGCTCAAATGCTGACAATATGCCTATGTCTCTCTCTCATGCCAATCTAATAGCAGAGAGAGGAAATTAGATGATGATAGACAGTATCCACACTAGCATACCACTTAGTATGAATAAATGTATTGGGCATGTATTGAAAGTAGTATGCTAGTTTGGACAATGGAACGTGGGTAGGAGGTGTGTGTGTCGTCCAGACTGGCTTGTCTTACCAGGCTTGGTGGGGTCCTGCTGCCTGGGCAGGCCCAGGGATATGGAGCCCACTGAGCTCTTTGCACCCTCTGGGCCACCGTAGACAGCATGGGATGGCAGGTACGTACCAGGAGTACCCTGAAATGGCAGGAACAGACAAGTCAGAATCAGGTCAGGGTTGCAAAATTTCAGTTGGAGGATTCCCTCCCTGCTTGTTCTCTCCTGATTCCAGGAGTCCTTCAACTGGGATTTCTGAAAACCTTGAAACTTTTTCGAAATTATACAGCAGAGAAATACAGGGAAAGTGCAACGTACAAAAATAAAGGTGGATCCAACTGATGTGTACCAAAGTTTGCTCTTTGGCATATTGGCTAGTAAACATGACTAAATACAGACTACTGTCTGCTACAAAGGCAAATAGCCGTATAGGTTTCTTAGTAAATCATTATCACACAACAAATACTGTTATAGTATGACTGATTGAGAAAGAGACAATGGTGCCAAAAAAGAATGTGATCATTTCACCAAATAGAACATACCAAACACTTCAGCCACACCTACTACCCTGGGTGCCCACCTGTGTGGCCCTAACCAGGGGGCTGGCTGAATCTGAACCCTCACCTGAGGGATATGGGTCTTACCTGGGAGATGGAGCCTCCCTGGATAAAGGAAGGCTTGTCTGTGGGTTTGGAGGTTGGAATGAGTGGAGGTGGAGATGGAATGTTGGCGGGTCGGCTGTGTCTGGAGAAAGTCACACGGACTCCATCGGGCAGGCTCTGGACCACCTGGTTGGGAGCTGGGTGGAGCACTAGGAGAGGAGAGAAAAACAATCAAAGTTAGAAAGTGACACCATCGATCATATGATTATTTAGCATGAGACTTGTCTAGGATAGGGTGAAGAAGGGAAGAACACAAAAAAGTGTGTCAAGAATAGAAAATCCAGAGGCACTGAAAAGTTAAAGTATTTTTTTTAAAATTCAGCCCCCAGAAAAACTCAATTTATGTCTATTATGGATATTCTCAAAGAAACATTCTGGTGCCATTTTCTGCAGTTTCCACAGATCAGTCACTGTATAGTACTGCAACTAAATTCAGGCAAAATTGTTTATCATTCTCAGCCAGTGCATCATTCACTACTCTTACAAACAGGCTCCACCAGCAGCCCATCTCCCATCTATGAGTGCATGGTGATAACATTTTGAGGCAGATTTCCCAGACTGAAGTAAACCGTGAAGTAAACACAGAACAGTGAGTCTGGTAGCTAGAGTTAAAAGGCTGGCGCTGACCTAAACCTGATGTAACCTCCCTGCCGCTTGCCTGTCTGTACATCTGTGGGAGCAGCCTCAGGGAGAGATATCTGGCTTGTCTGCGTTCTACCCTGTTAGTGAGTCACGGTGACCGGGAGTGACCTGCCTTGAGGAAGCAACCCCCGCTCCCTTCCTACCGACAGTCTGCCCGCCCTCAATGCCCCTGCACTTTAAATTTGTCTGGGAGAGTACCTACAGCAGGCACAGACGTCAGCATCCTGGCAGCTCACACTGAGAGATAAGGAAACAAGCTAGTCCATGACGGAATACTGATAAAGCCTTACTGCAGCCAGGCTCTGTGTGTGTAATATTAACATTCATTCATGATAGGGACAGATAGATGTTTAAGGCCAGCTACAGTACAGCTTAAACTACTCACAGAGAAACGGGAAAGAGTAGGGGGGTGGGGGGTGAAAACATAAGGACAACTGTACTGTAAGAGCTTTAGCCAATTGAAAAAGAGTTGGCAACTGCACAAACAGTATGGGACCAGGCTAGCTGAAGGGTAGAGCTGAGGCCACATGGGGGAGGACAGATCAGAGGGCAGTTACCTGGAGGCACGCTGTAGCGGGAGGCGTTGGGGTCATTGGGCTGAGGAGAGGCCTTGCTCATGTCCCTGGGAGAGAGCCTGTAGGGAGAGCCTGGCCGACCAGACTGGGCCTCCTGCTCCAGAGCCATCTTCATTTCATAAGGCATGTAAGGGAAGGGCTTACCTGAACACAACACAGAACAGAGACATATGAATGAAAACACTGCCACAAGATAAATGACTCACACAAATAGACAAACAATCAGAAGATGAAATACAACCCGAGACGATTTTGATTATACATTTCAAATCAACAAAATAATACTTGACAAGTATCTTGGCACGGATTCGCAGTTTTCACACACAAAAAAAGCCCTCAGCCTGCCTTACTGCTCTAACACGAACTTCGATTTCCAAGCTTCTTCAAATATAGCATTGCGGGACTACCCAAAAACCTTTTTAGCTCTTAAAAAAGGTGATAAAAGCTTTGGGTGTCTAATCACGGACTTCCCCCCTTCACACAAAATACACCATTCAGACTTGGAAACAGGCTAGGCCAATGTGCCCTTTGTGGCTGAATGACTCTTCTACCTTTAAAAATAGGATCCACTTCTCTGTCTGCCTGGGGGGCACTAACTGTGTCCTGCTCTGACACACTCAAGTCATGCTCCTTCAAAAGTCGACCGCGGAATCCCTCCCTTCCCCCAGAGGCATTTCAGGAAAAACAAGCTTTCCCTATCAGAGCTTTTAGCTTTCATGTTCGCATCACGTGTAAAATGGGGTCAGCTAACATCTTGTTCTTGTTCTGGTTCAGTCTACAGCAGTCTGAACCGGCTCTCTCTCCTCTCATAATTCATTTTTTGATGCTGAACGAAAGTGAATGGGACTGAAAAATGTATTGGCTATAAATAGGCTGCTGTTGGTTGAGAGGCTCAGGTAGGTAGGGGCTCAGAGGGGGGATACCAGTGCGTGTAGATGTGTATGTACTCTCTCTTACCCTCCCTGTCCAGTACAGTGGGGCTGCGGGTAGTGAAGCGCGGGCAGTGGGGAGGTTGTCTGCTGTGCTCAGGGTCGGCCTGGTCCTGTCTCTGTTTATCCTCCGCGTGGGCCGACTCGTGCACCGCCTTGATCTGGTGCTGGAACATGGCGAAGCCGCTGAGGGGGGCTCCCATTGTCATCCCACCAGTGCTGAAAGGACCCACCTACAGGAGGAGGGCGAGGAGAGACGCCCCTGTGAGGAGGACTGGAGGGGGACACAAGCTCTGTACAAGTAAAGCGAGCAGCTGATACATTGTCCTCTAACCCTGAATTGCTTCTATCTACAATCTAGAAGAAGTAGATGTTGATTGGACTTCAGAATTAAAAGAATAGTACTAACACCTGTCTTTAAACCATCCCAGAAGAAAGGGTAAAGTACATTATTAGATGAATGAAATGTAAAAAATGACCCAAACAGTTGTTAGATTGGACTGCTTTTGTGTTTTGCACGCAAATCTCGGCCCCAGTGCTTAAACAGGCAATCCAGTTTGTCTGACCTCATCCATTATAAATGGAGAGACAGAAGCACCATAGAAGAAGCAATTGGAGGGAAAGAAAGGGACATCAGAAAACAATTTGACAGTGTCAGCACATTAGCATGATTAGATTACCGGTACACAACAGATGGGCACAAGTTCATTGATTTAGATCCCTGCTGACACATTGATCAACTGATTGATTGGACGTTTCAATGACAAAAGAAGAATCCATCAATTGGATTGATTGATTGATTGATTTACAGGTTGGTTGGAAAAGTGCGGGGGATGATGGACTCACTTGACGGGTAGGTTGGTCTAAATAAGACATGCTTTCACCCTCTTGCCTGCCTCCGTGTGCCTGCCTCTCCGAATGGGCATATCTGATCATAGAAAAGTGTGGGTTGCTATAGTGACTGACCATGGGCGGGATGGTAGCGGCGCGCTGCTGGTGCTGCTGCATGTTGAGGTGGGCCTGTTTGGCCGTGGACATCAGCACTGAGCCAGGAGGGCTGAGTAACGAAGGCTTGTCCATACTAGAGAACATCCTGAGGACACAGGAGAGAGGGGGAGACAGGAGAGGAGAGAGACGGTGAGACATACTTATCAGAAAGAGTCGAGGTAATGATCACAGGAGTTAGGAGAAAGGAGTCGATTCAATTACCACTAATAATATCAACCATTTACAACCTTAATAATTAATCAAAATACCTTTGTTTTTAAAGTCTGAAACAAGAGGTGTGAATCCCCATGATGACCACCCTGACCCACCTCTGTCTCTCGGGCTCAGTGTCCACATCCTCGTCTGCGCTGCAGGTGGCGCTGGAGTCATTGTCTGAGTGGTGCCCCTCCCTCTGCCTCTCTCTCTCCCCATGCTCCCCATTGTCCCCCTTCTCCTTGGTCGAGTCAGGCTCCACCTTCACCTGCACCTCAGCACCCCCAGGCTTCATGTCCAACTCCTGGGGCTCACTCTTGGGATGCACCTGGCCCTCGTAGGCCGCCCGGGCCCTCTCCCTGTCCTGGTCCTCCTGAGAGTCAGGGTCTCTGGCCTCTCCCTCAGGGCTCTTCTCCAGCTTGACCCTCAGCTCCCCGTATGGCGGATCCTGGCCCTTCCCATCGCTGGCCTGGTCCTGATCTGACCGCTGGTTCTCTGACCCTCCAGCAATGTCTCCCATCTGGGAGTCTCCTCTGGCCTTGGAGGGGTCCGCCTGGGACGGGGACGGGGCACTCTCTGTGTCTGAGCTGTTCTCTCCACCTTTATGGGCACACAGACCAGGAAAGGACATGGGTAAGACCCACTCAAATCACTCTGCATGGCATACACAGGAACTGACCCTGGGCAGAGGGCAACATACTGATCGAAGCAGACAGAAATGTAATGGATAAAAAGATGAAAAAGATGCGGTATAGATAAAAACAGACCATATAAAATGCATAAAGATGGAGACCATAAAACCAATGATGCAATGTTGTCTGTGTCTGGTGGCACTGTTGCCACGGAGAGAAGAAACCTGAACTGTGAATAATAAAAACCGTATCGATGCCAAGATAAATCTCTGACACAGGTGTCAGGTGACAAAAGACAAATATTTAATCCCCTCCCCCCCAGCATTCCTGGCTATGCCCAACCAAGTGACCCTCTGCAATCTGCAGGCAGTTACACCAACCAACCAAGGCCTTGAGGACAGTTTGGGTTTCCTTGGGAGACAATGAGAGCTTCAGAAACATCAACACATAATATAGTGACCTCCTATAGTGTAGACACAACTTTACAACTATCTTGTACACTGGAACCAGATGATAAGGCAATCTCTCAAACTGACATGACCCAAGCATTATGACATTCAGTGACTCAGTGACACCACTAAACATAACAGATAGCAACACCCCCACACACACCAATCAACCAGCAACCCTTCCTCCACCATCATCCTCTGCCCACCCCAGCCCTACACCACCTGCCTTGGAGCATGTTGCATAGTTGGTCGTCCTCAGGAGGGGCAAAGAGAGAGAGAGAGAGAGAGAGAGAGAGACTGCAAGAGTAGGGAAAGCCTCTCCTACCTCCCTCCTCCCTGTCAGGTGAGGGGCTAAACTCAATTAAATCACTTTGCTTTACCACAGACACAGACGAAACCTGGAGGGAGATGGACTCCACTCCAAAAGAGAGAAAGAGAGAGAGGGTGAGGGTTATGGAGAGAAGGGAGTCAAAAGAGTGGGAGAGAGAGAGATGGCCAAGAGCTAGAGTCAGTGAGTGATAGGTCTGTGACAAACCCGGGGAGAGAAGGCTCTCCTAAACAATGGAAGTCATGAGCACATTTACGGCCAGGACGAAATAGAAAGGTCCCACACTTAATCTGGATTCAAACTCCTTAACCTATCACCATACTTGGCAGAGCAAGGGATTTGAATATTCAAAACAGGCCCTTTCTGCCCTGTTACGACAACCAAGACAAGGGCATTTTAGGACTTTTAGGAGTGGAGAGAGTGATAGAGGAAGTGAAGAGAGGCAGAGGAGAGGGAGAAAGAGAGACAGGGTGATGGGAAGAGAGCAGATAGTTGGGGAGAGATGGAGTGGAGGGAGAGGGGATAGGAAGAGAGAGAGCGGGAGAGAGGTAAAGAGAAAGCGGAAGATAGCAAAGGAGAGAAAGAGAGAAAGACGGGAAGGCCCTGCAGATCAAAAGAGTGGAGCAGCACTCAGCGCTCCATGCAGCACACTTTCTTGATTCTTCAAAGCCAAGGAACAGTTACATAACCCAGGCCCAGCAGTCAGAATTAGTTCACATCTTTTATGTCTCACTTTTCTCCCTCCTCCTCCTTTTGATCCCTTTTTCTCTCTCATTAAAACTACAGACAGTAATGAGAAAATACTGGGTCTCCATTGCCATTAATTCTAATCTCATTCTCACAAGACAAAGTTCAAGAGGCTCTTTCTGAAGTGGACTCACTCTTACAGATCTCAACACTCTTCCAGAGAGAGACGTTTCTCTAACTTCCAGTCTCTTTTTCCCTTGCTCTTTCTCTCATTCACACACTCACTACTGCATTGTACATTCCCTCAGATCAAATTTAAATCAAACCAATCAAACTAATTTTTAACTATGCTTGTGTGTGTATTTGTGCTGTGAAGACAGTGTACGTGTGTCTGAATGTGAGGATTCACATGTTGTGGATAAACAGAGGGATGGTGTGTGACTCTGGTGTGTGTGTGTCAGTGTGTGTGTCATCTCTCTGACTGACCGTCACTATCCTCTGGGTTTTCGTCGTCGTCAGCTGAGGCCATGCTCTCGCTCTGAGACGGGTCCCGATCACCCCGTGCCCGCCGGGTGTCCTGAAGAAACACAAATCGTTATAGAACAGACTACATCAACTTCCCCGTTCGTTTGTAATACAGAAAATACATTAAAGATAGTTTAACATTTAAAGATGAAAGATAGTGACAGACATGCATGTTCTGATATAGAGATTACAGAAACCAAACCACTTCATATTGTACCTGAACACGGGTGTATTCTTTAGGCACTAAACTCCCTGGACTTATTTTTGCTTGCCATTGCAAATTGTTTTAAAATGTTTTCCGTTGTGTGCCCTTATGAACACAACCCTGATAATGAATTGTGTTGAGTATTGCTGTACCTGCTTGTGTTGCTGGAGCAGGTTGTCCAGGTTGTGCCGTCTCTTGTAGTTGAAGTAGAAGTTCTTGCACTGAGCCTCGCTCTTAGTGCCCACCATCTTGGCAATGGCTGACCAGTTACGCCCGTGCTCCACAAGGCCTGGCAGAGGAGAGAAGAGAGACTGGGTTGGGATCTGAACCTAAAACGGACCCAGATTTAGCTTATTCATTGAACATTAACCTACTACTGAGTGACACCACCTCACCTGGTAAAACCCTAAACTACTGATCTCTCTTGTTCACACGCCCAGTTGCACAGTCCCAATGATCCTTGCTGCCATGGCCTGCCAGTCTGCCCCACCTTGACCAGCACTAATCTAATCAAACAATCAGCTTTGATGAAGTCTTAATAAACTGTTTAAGACAGACAGACCGCGCTTTCAGAGAGGTGTATTGGACTGGAAGACCGACAGTGGATTGCCTTTGACATTCGGGTGTCTCTCCTCCCTCCCCCTTCCGCCACTGCACTGTTGAGCTAAAGGACACTGGCACTTTGACAAATCACCTCAGACTGGAGCCCAGTAGAGGACAAAGACTAATTACAACACCATCTAAATGAATGAGGAGACAGAGGACACTCTTGACAGGACATTTATTGTCACGTTTGGAGTCACTTGTATAGAGACTTCCACGTCGAAGTATCGGGTGAGGAGTCCTTCAGGCTCTTTGACTGTAAAACAGTCTCATGATTGGTATGATATTTAGTAATAGTTCCTCACAGTCTCCTCAGGAATAAACATGAACTACACTAACTCATTGGGATTCCTGTTGCCCCATTTAGTTCCTCGCAAGAAAATGTACTGTATGATATACCTATACTACATGCGCATCATCCATCCACCCTAAAACACACATCTCTTCACATCCCTTACTTAGTTTTACAGTAGTCATCATAGCAAGTATCTTTCCTTAAAAGGCTTTCATTTTTTCCCATATTCTATGACTTAAGTTGTGTTGTTCACAAATATTACTTGTTGCAGTTGGATTGATCCCTAGTACTCATCATGTGGCCTACCACCACTACAGCACTACCACACACCAAGACAAATCATCCACCCCCCCTCCTCACATGTCCAAGCCCTGTAACAGCTTACAAGAAAATGGGGGGGAAAAAACATCTAAGAAAAAAAGATAAGAATAAGAGGGGGAAGGCCCCTCTCTGACCCATCCAGCAGTAAACTCAACATAAACAAAGCTGAAGTAAAACAAAGCAGAACACTGTGCCAGCATCTAAAGACTTCATGTACACCATGTCTCCATCTCTCGACGTCAGGCAGCCCAATGAATAAAAGTGCTCCTTTCAAATATGTCAGCTTTTAAGAGCTTCCCTCGGTCCTATACCCTGTGGACTTGACCTTCTTAATATGTTTGAGACAATCAGTTGTGTTGTGACAAGGTAGGTGTGATATACAGAAGATAGCCCTATTTGGTAAAAGACCAAGTCCATATTATGGCAAGAACAGCTCAAATAAGCAAAGAGAAACGACAGTCCATCATTACTTTAAGACATGAAGGTCAGTCATTCCGGAAAATGTCAAGAACTTTTAAAGTTTCTTCAAGTGCAGTCGCAAAGACCATCATGCGCTATGATGAAACTGGCTCTCATGAGGACCGCCACAGGAAAGGAAGACCCAGAGTTACCTCTGCTGCAGAGGATAAGTTCATTAGAGTTACCAGCCTTAGAAATTGCAGCCCAAATAAATGCGTCACAGAGTTCAAGTAACAGACACATCTCAACATCAACTGTTTAATATATATATATATAATATATTTATTTTAATATATATTTAATATATGCCATTTAGCAGACGCTTTTATCAAAAGCGACTTACAGTCATGTGTGCATACATTTTTACGTATGGGTGGTCCTGGGGATTGAACCCACTACCCTGGCGTTACAAGCGCCATGCTCTACCAATTGAGCTACAGAGGACCACCCATACACTCCACTGTTCAGAGCAGACTGAGTGAATCAGCCCTTCATGGTCGAATTTCTGCAAAGAAACCACTACTAAAGGACACCAATAAGAAGAAGAGACTTGCTTGGGCCAAGAAACACGAGTAATGGACATTAGACCACTGGAAAGCTGTCCTTTGGTCTGATGAGTCCAAATTTGAGATTTGTGGTTCCAACCGCCGTGTCTTTGTGAGACGCAGAGTAGGTGAACGGGTTATCTCTGCATGTGTGGTTCCCACCGTGAAGCATGGAGGAGGAGGTGTGATGGTGCTTTGCTGGTGACACTGTCTGTGATTTATTTAGAATTCAAGGCACACTTAACCAACATGGCTACCACAGCATTCTGCAGCGATACGCCATCCCATCTGGTTTGGGCTTAGTGGGACTATCATTTGTTTTTCAACAGGACAATGACCCAACACACCTCCAGGCTGTGTAAGGGCTATTTGACCAAGAAGGAGAGTGATGGAGTGCTGCATCAGATGACCTGGCCTCCACAATCCCCCGACCTCAACCCAATTGAGATGGTTTGGGATGAGTTGGACCGCAGAGTGAAGGAAAAGCAGCCAACAAGTGCTCAGCATATGTGGGAACTCCTTCAAGACTGTTGGAAAAGCATTCCAGATGAAGCTGGTTGAGAGAATGCCAAGAGTGTGCAAAGGGTGGCTACTTTAAATAATCTAAAATCTAATCACTTTTTTGGTTACTACTTGATTCCATATGTGTTATTTCATAGTTTTGATGTCTTCACTATTATTCTACAATGTCGAAAATAGTAAAAAATAAAGAAAAATCCTTGAATGAGTAGGTGTGTCCAAACTTTTGACTGGTACTGTACTTCCATTAATTTTTTTAAACTGGTACCGGGTGACCTTCAGACTAGTCTTGTGAGGCTTGTGGGCGTGCTTTCATCTTTCCAGAGGTGGGTCATATTAGTGTGTAGCCCAAACTGTTCAGACACTACAGACAGAAGTTGGCAGATTAGCTGTACCCTTCAGAAGAGTCCCAAGACGCTTGTGGGGGTCGTAGAGCAAAATGGAGAACACCATCGTGAGAATGAGTCTCTCATCTATCCATAGTTTGTAGGCCAAACTGTTCGGACGCTACAGACAATTTAGAGAGAAGACGGATTTTCGGGATGTCTCATGGTCTGACAAACACTGTTCTAGCTCTGACACCTTTAACCGCAGATGCGGAAGTGCGACATCGGCGGATGCAGTGGATTGAGATGCATCCAATGCAACTGATATCTTTAGCTTAAATTGACGGTTTTATTATGCTAATTAGATGTCTTAGGGACCACGGAAATCGACTATAGGGGGTTAAGGGAGTATGTGAGCACACTCGTTCGGTACGCCTAGCTGTGTTCAGCTAGGCGTGTTCATCACCAGCCAAACCAAAGCATGCGGAAGGCTTAAGTCTCTCTCTCCCTCTTTCTCTCCACCATAGTCTACACTGACAAAGCTAGAGTACTGGCCTGGCTGGGAGGTAGCTATGGGCCGATGGGGGTTGGGGTCATGGGTCAATCACTATTGGACGGAGTGTGTGACGCAACTGGCGAAAGCTGAAATGCTGTGCTGCGTCCATATTCAGTAACTGCATGAAATGAAACGCTCAATCTCAAAAGGAGTTGTTTTAGATAAAAAAAGGTTTCAATGTAGAGCAACTTCAAAATAAGTCCTGATCCAGAGGCCTGACTGTGTTTTTGTGAATAATAGATATGATCTTTAGAGGAAGCCCAAACTGTCACGCTCTGTTACAGAGCAGAGCAACTGCAGTTAGATACCAGAAAGAATATCCTCGCACAAACCACTACGTCCTGCTTCCCCCTTAAAGCCTCCTCCAGCCAGGGGAGTGTCTGAGAGTGAGAGCTTGTGTGGGAGCAAATTATGAGGAGAGAGATCAAACTAGAGAGAGAGAGAGGGTTGAAGGTGGGGGTGAGAGAGAGTGAGGGAGGGAGAGAAACGATAAATGGAGAAATAAAAACAAAACTCTACCTTTTTTGGCCACCTCCATCTCCTCCTCGGTCCAGCGAGAAGTCTCACCGGTTTCAGTGTTCGCGGTGGCAGCAGTTCCTAATGCTAAAGTCACAGAGAGAAAACAGAAAGCTCCATATTAGCCCACAGAGATAGTACAGTGTAGCTCGGTCCACTTCTCAGCAGTCTCCTTCTCACGGCTGCTAATAAAATAATCAGTTTACATTCAGAGGCTCGATGCCGAGGCCTGCACCTCGCACTCTCTCTCTCTTTCCCTCTCCCTTTCTCTCGTGTTCTCTCGCCATCTCCCTCACAACTAGAACGACCTCCTCCTCCTGTTCCTCCCTCTTTCCCTTGCAAGGGGAGGGCCCAGTGTCAGCTGATCTGGCTCCAGACAGTGGAGAAGTAGAGAGACGCACCTCCCACCCTCCACCTCCTTGGGAAACGGCCTTGGACAGAGACAAACAGACAGATAGACGGAGAGAATATCCCGACAACAGAGACAGCCAGACTGACTAAGTAACCACTCCTCTCACTGCTACACTGCCACATAACTATTAACCACAAACACACGCCTCTCTCAGTATCAGCCTGTCCACACTGACCCCTACCTCCCCTTCACCCACAGCCAAATTCACAGAACAGGACAACACACTCAATATGGAAGGATGGGCTGATGGAGGCTGGGGCTGAGAGAGAGAGTGAACCCTGGCCCACTACTCCATGTGACCCATAGACATTGTGTAAACTTTTCCCACATTGTTGTGTTTGTTGTGTTACAGCCTGAATTTAAAATGGATTAAATTGAGATTTTCTGTCACTGGCCTACAGACAATACCCCATAATGTCAAAGTGGAATTATGTTTTTACACATTTTTACATATTAATACAAAATGAAAAGCTGAAATGTCTTGAGTCAATAAGTATTCATCCCCTTTGTCATGGCAAGCCTAAATAAGTTCAAGAGTAAACATTTGCTTAACATGTCACATAAATTGCATGGACTCACTCCGTGTGCAATAATAGGGTTTAACATGATTTTTGAATGACTACTGTACCCCACACATACAATTATCTGTAAGGTCCCTCAGTCGAGCAGTGAATTTCAAACACAGATTCAACCACAAAGACCAGGGAGGTTTTTCAATGCCTCGCAAAGAAGGGCACCTATTGGTAGATGGGTAAAAATTTTAAAAGCAGACATTGACTACCCCTTTGAGCATGGTGAAATTATTAATTACACTTTGGATGGTGTATCAATACACCCAGTCACTACAAAGATACAGGCGTCCTTCCTAACTCAGTTGCCGAAGAGGAAGGAAACTGTTCGCTGCTCTGGCACCCCAATGGTGGAACAAGCTCCCTCACGACGCCAGGACAGCGGAGTCACTCACCACCTTCCGGAGACATTTGAAACCCCACCTCTTTAAGGAATACCTGGGATAGGATAAAGTAATCCTCCTTTGACTTAAATCTACTAGAGAATCTATGGCAAAACCTGAAAATGGTTGTCTAGCAATGATCAACAACCAATTGAAAATAATTTTGAAAAGAATAATGGGCAAATGTTGCACAATCCAGGTGTGGAAAGCTCTTAGAGACTTACCCAGACAGACTCATAGCTGTAATCGCTGCTACCAAAGGTGATTCTAACATGTATTGACTCAGGGGGTTGAATACATATCTCATCAAGATATATTAGTGTTTTATTTTTCATAAATGTTTTACAAATGTTAGAATTTCTCTTCCACTTTGACAGAGTATTTTGTGTAGATCGTTGACCAAAAAAAAGACAATTAAATCCATTTTAATCACACTTTGTAACAACAAAATTTTGAAAAAGTCAAGGGGTGTGAATACTTTCAACAGGCACTTTAGCTGCAGTATGAACCCCTGACATTTATAGGAGTTTTTTTTCTTGAGGAGATCCATGTTTAGACGGCTGCTAGCGAATGGTCTAGGGCCATATATAGTCTGTTAAATCTACTCAACGAATATTAGTTGAATCGCTGCTTCCGTCCCATGACACACTCAACTCACATGTTCGCCTAATCCCACCGGCATTCCCCCATTCCCCCATCATGCCTGTTAAGATCCAGGGAGGTGGTCAGGTCATTAATCTTGCCCGACTCTTTGAAGAGATATGGCGAGACCGAAATGGCCCCCTATTCCCTATATCATGGTCTGCTTTTGACCTGGCCCATAGGGCTCTGGTCAATAGTAGAACACTACATAGGGAATAGGGGCCCATAGGGCTCTGGTCAATAGTAGAACACTACATAGGGAATAGGGGCCCATAGGGCTCTGGTCAATAGTAGAACACTACATAGGGAATAGGGGCCCATAGGGCTCTGGTCAATAGTAGAACACTACATAGGGAATAGGGGCCCATAGGGCTCTGGTCAATAGTAGAACACTACATAGGGAATAGGGGCCCATAGGGCTCTGGTCAATAGTAGTGCACTATACAGAATAAGGGTGCCATTTCAGACGCAGACATAGATTTATAAATACAGAGTGGGAGGCTACAACAGACTGACACTCAGCACACAAACATCAAAAGAAGCTTTCAGAGCAGCACAAGGACTAGGCTGAGGTACAGCTGAGAGGAGCCATGTCAATGGGTCCACCCTAGACACCACACTATATTGCCATGGTGATGATGACTAGGGTATAGGCTTAACTCAGACTGAGCCCCTGGCTGGGTTACACAAGCGAGAGATCGAGGTCCCAGTTATCGCATTGTGTTGAGGAGCAAAAACAACAATAACAACAACCTGAACCTGGTGAACCAGGGATGTATTCAATGAGGTGAAATTTCAGATATAAATGTAATGAACAGAGCTGAATCCTTATTCAACCAGACCATCTTAGTAGTTATAAACAATAAAATGTATATCTGAACAGACCCCAGGTTTTAACTGGCCACTGCCAAGCAAGCAAGTGCATATCCTATCACGTATGTGTGTAAAGGTAAATGGGGGTGTTTATGGTATATGGTGGGTTTTTTCTTGACGCTAGAGGTGCTTCAGCTCAGCGGCATGACATTTACATTTTAGTCATTTAGCACAGGAGTTCCCAAACCTTTTCACTCAGGCCCGGCTTCCAGCATTAGGGAAGATCCTGCGCGCCCCCCACCCCCACGTCTATTTCTATGGGCACAAGGACTGTTCATGACACTAACTGTTCACAGTTAGAATTTCTTGCAATTCTATACATTTTGCCATGTCTAATGTGTATTCATGTGATATTAGAGTGACTCAAACATCACAACTAACCCTATGAGCAAAAAAAACTAACAAAAAAACATTAGCTGACATGGGCTAGTTGATCTGGACATTTCTTACAAGTTATAAATAGCTCTCTAAGGTATGCAATGACTGACATGACAAGAGGAAAATTTATGATGCACTACCAAATTTCTAAATTGTACCTTGTGCATTCTACTATTACAACTTTCAAGAGTAAGTTGAAAGCCGGACTGAGTTCCTTAAAAAAAATTAAAGTAAATGCCGAGTCCCCCCCCGGCCGACCCCTCACGCGCCCCACAGTTTGGGACCCACTGATTTAGCAGACGCTCTTATCCAGCGTGATTAGGGTTATGTGCCTTGCTCAAAGATTTAGTCGGCTTGGGGATTCGAACCAGCGACCTTTAGGTTAATGGCTCAATGCTCTTAACTGCTAGGATACCAGCCGGCTACATACCTAACCTTTGGGACTTGTTAGGCACTCATGTAGTGCCGTCCTTTTCTACAGCTGGGACCTATAATGACATCCTCACTATGCTATTATATTTCAGGACCTTTCCAGGAAAAACACACACCAGTTGGTCTCTCACATAACATAACCATGAAGCCACAGTTCACACATCCCACTCCACACCAGGGGTCTCCAACCTTTTCTAGCATGAGAGCTACTTTGAAAAAACAATTTTTTTTCTAGCTTTCAAATAGGAAAATGTTTCTCTTCTCTTCTACCCCTTCAACTCTAAAAGGGGGCCCTATACAATCTTAGATTCTTTCAAAAATTAGATGTAATATTTTCCCTAATTATGTACTCAGTTTAATTTTTCATGGTATAAGATTTTAGTTTTTCACTATCAAAACTACAATTGTTCATAGAGAAACAATTAAATTGGATGTTCTGAGTCCATGTCAATGATTAAATCACATCAGAAGACAATTCTTTTTAGGGCTGAAAGGAAATTAAGAAATGTATAATTGATTGCAATTCCCCTTTAATTACGCATCTGACCCTTTAATTGTGCATCTAGTGAGTGAGGAATGTGGCGTCTAATGTGCCTGTCTAGCGATGGTTCTGTACTGCTGCTGCTCAATTCATGGCAAAGTTTGCAAATAACAAATAATAGATACAAATTATATACTTCCTCATGATACAGTGGGGAAAAAAAGTATTTAGTCAGCCACCAATTGTGCAAGTTCTCCCACTTAAAAAGATGAGAGGCCTGTAATTTTCATCATAGGTACACGTCAACTATGACAGACAAATTGAGAAAAGAAAATCCAGAAAATCACATTGTAGGATTTTTAATGAATTTATTTGCAAATTATGGTGGAAAATAAGTATTTGGTCACCTACAAACAAGCAAGATTTCTGGCTCTCACAGACCTGTAACTTCTTCTTTAAGAGGCTCCTCTGTCCTCCACTCGTTACCTGTATTAATGGCACCTGTTTGAACTTGTTATCAGTATAAAAGACACCTGTCCACAACCTCAAACAGTCACACTCCAAACTCCACTATGGCCAAGACCAAAGAGCTGTCAAAGGACACCAGAAACAAAATTGTAGACCTGCACCAGGCTGGGAAGACTGAATCTGCAATAGGTAAGCAGCTTGGTTTGAAGAAATCAACTGTGGGAGCAATTATTAGGAAATGGAAGACATACAAGACCACTGATAATCTCCCTCGATCTGGGGCTCCACGCAAGATCTAATAATAATAATAATAATAATATGCCATTTAGCAGACGCTTTTATCCAAAGCGACTTACAGTCATGCGTGCATACATTATTAATTTTTTGTGCATGGGTGGTCCCGGGGATTGAACCCACTACCTTGGCGTTACAAGCGCCGTGCTCTACCAGCTGAGCTACAGATCTCACCCCGTGGGGTCAAAATGATCACAAGAACGGTGAGTAAAAATCCCAGAACCACACGGGGGGACCTAGTGAATGACCTGCAGAGAGCTGGGACCAAAGTAACAAAGCCTACCATCAGTAACACACTACGCCGCCAGGGACTCAAATCCTGCAGTGCCAGACGTGTCCCCCTGCTTAAGCCAGTACATGTCCAGGCCCGTCTGAAGTTTGCTAGAGTGCATTTGGATGATCCAGAAGAGGATTGGGAGAATGTCATATGGTCAGATGAAACCAAAATAGAACTTTTTGGTAAAAACTCAACTCGTCGTGTTTGGAGGACAAAGAATGCTGAGTTGTATCCAAAGAACACCATACCTACTGTGAAGCATGGGGGGGAAAACATCATGCTTTGGGGCTGTTTTTCTGCAAAGGGACCAGGACGACTGATCCGTGTAAAGGAAAGAATGAATGGGGCCATGTATCGTGAGATTTTGAGTGAAAACCTCCTTCCATCAGCAAGGGCATTGAAGATGAAACGTGGCTGGGTCTTTCAGCATGACAATGATCCCAAACACACCGCCCGGGCAACGAAGGAGTGGCTTCGTAAGAAGCATTTCAAGGTCCTGGAGTGGCCTAGCCAGTCTCCAGATCTCAATCCCGTAGAAAATCTTTGGAGGGAGTTGAAAGTCTGTGTTGCCCAGCGACAGCCCCAAAACATCACTGCTCTAGAGGAGATCTGCATGGAGGAATGGGCCAAAATACCAGCAACAGTGTGTGAAAACCTTGTGAAGACTTACAGAAAACGTTTGACCTGTGTCATTGCCAACAAAGGGTATATAACAAAGTATTGAGAAACTTTTGTTATTGACCAAATACTTATTTTCCACCATCATTTTCAAATAAATTCATTAAAAATCCTACAATGTGATTTTCTAGATTTTTTTTCCACATTTTGTCTGTCATAGTTGTCGTGTACCTATGATAAAAAATTACAGGCCTCTCTCATCTTTTTAAGTGGGAGAACTTGCACAATTGGTGGCTGACTAAATACTTTTTTTCCCCCACTGTATATTTCTGCCAGGTAAGCCTACTTTTCAGTTAACATTTAATTGAGAACGTTTTGGGGAAAACATTTCTGTCCACCCACAAGACGGTTATCACATCAACTGGCTATACATGGAGTGATAGATAACCGCGCCAGACAGAATGGGGCAATCTTGCTTGAAATTAATTAGCAGATATTGTGTTAGGTTTGGCTTTTTAAGCCAATAGTGGCTAAACAGGGGTGGGATAATGTCAATGTTGCGTTGATTAGATCAGGGGTTCCCAAACTTTTTCCACTCGGGGACCCCTTGCAGCATTGGGGAACATCCCTGGGCCCCCCCTGCGCGTGTGCGCCACATCTATTTTTATGGGAAAAAGCACTGTTCATTACACAAACTGTTCACACCCCTCTTGTTGGTGGAGAGAATTTAGCAGGTTTAAAGCTTATTTCCTGCAATTCTACACAGCTTGTCATGGGGTGCAAATATTGTTTTGAAGTTTAAAGCACATTTTCTTGGAATTTTATACATTTTGGTATGCCTAATGTGTATTCATGTGATATTTGAGTGACACAAATTACAATATCTATGGGCTAAAAAACCTAAATAAAAAAACGTTAGCTGACATGGGCTAGTTGTTCTGGACATTTCTGACAGTCATAAATAGCTCTCTAAGGTATGCAATGACTAACATGACAAGAGGAACTGTTGATGCACTACCCAATTTCGAAATGGCACCTTGTGCATTCTACCCTGTGTGCCCCCCCTGCTGACCCCTCGCGCCCCCCCTAGATACTTGTGAGATTTGTTTATGACAGTTTGCAGTGGAACATGTGAAAATTGAATGTATTTCAGAATTGTTTGGCGAGTTACTCATAGGTGGCCTGCGAGCTACTGGTAACTGGCGATCGACCTGTTGGAGACCCCTGCGCCACACACACTCGTTCAAACCTCCATAGCCAAGGTTCAATACCTCGAGTAGAATTGTATTATCTACTCAGTCCCATTGCCGCAAATACCACATAACCACAAAACTAGTAAACCACCCTAGTAAGTGTAAAACTCTCTTCCTCCTTTATCTGTTTGAGATGCACCTTTGTAAAAAAAAATACAGTTGAAGTCGGAAGTTTACATACACCTTAGTCAAATACATTTAAACTCAGTTTTTCACAATTCCTGACATTTAATCCTAGTAAAAATTCCCTGTTTTAGGTCAGTTAGGATCACCATTTTATTTTAAGAATGTGAAATGTCAGAATAATAGTAGAGATAATTATTTATTTAAGCTTTTATTTCTTTCATCACATTCCCAGTGAGTCATAAATTCACTCAATTAGTATTTGGTAGCATTGCCTTTAAATTGTTTAACTTGGGTCAAACATTTAAGGTAGCCTTCCACAAGCTTTCCACAATAAGTTGGGTGAATGTTGGCCCATTCCTCCTGACAGAGCTTGTGTAACTGAGTCAGGTTTGTAGGCCTCCTTGTTCGTACACGCTTTTTCAGTTCTGCCCACAAATGTTCTATAGGATTGTGGTCAGGGCTTTATGACGGCCACTCCAGTACCTTGACTTTGTTGTCCTTAAGCCATTTTTCCACAACTTTGGAAGTATGCTTGGGGTCATTGTCCATTTGGAAGACCCATTTGCGACCAAGCTTTAACTTCCTGACTGATGTCTTGAGATGTTGCTTCAATATATCCACATCATTTTCCTTCCTCATGATGCCTTCTATTTTGTGAAGTGCATCAGTCCCTCCTGCAGCAAAGCACCCCCACAGCATGATGCTGCCACCCCCGTGCTTCACGGTTGGGATGGTGTTCTTCGGCTTGCAAGCTACCTCCTTTTTCCTCCAAACATAACGATGGTCATTATGGCCAAACAGTTCCATTTTTGTTTCATCAGACCAGAGGACATATCTCCAAAAAGTACGATCTTTGTCCCCATGTGCAGTTGCAAACCGTAGTCTGGCTTTTTTATGGCGGTTTTGGAGCAGTGGCTTCTTCCTTGCTGAGCGGCCTTTCAGGTTATATCGATATAGGACTCGTTTTACTGTGGATATGCAGTGAGGGAAAAAAAGTATTTGATCCCCTGCTGATTTTGTACGTTTGCCCACTGACAAAAAAATTATCAGTCTATAATTTTAATGGTAGGTTTATTTGAACAGTGAGAGACAGAAAAACAAAACAAAAATCCAGAAAAACGCATGTTAAAAATGTTATAAATTGATTTGCATTTTAATGAGGGAAATAAGTATTTGACCCCCTCTCAATCAGAAAGATTTCTGGCTCCCAGGTGTCTTTTATACAGGTAACGAGTTGAGATTAGGAGCACACTCTTAAAGGGAGTGCTCCTAATCTCAGTTTGTTACCTGTATAAAAGACACCTGTCCACAGAAGCAATCAATCAATCAGATTCCAAACTCTCCACCATGGCCAAGACCAAAGAGCTCTCCAAGGATGTCAGGGACAAGATTGTAGACCTACACAAGGCTGGAATGGGCTACAAGACCATCGCCAAGCAGGTTGGTGAGAAGGTGACAACAGTTGGTGCGATTATTCGCAAATGGAAGAAACACAAAAGAACTGTCAATCTCCCTCGACCTGGGGCTCCATGCAAGATCTCACCTCATGGAGTTGCAATGATCATGAGAACGGTGAGGAATCAGCCCAGAACTACACGGGAGGATCTTGTCAATGATCTCAAGGCAGCTGGGACCATAGTCACCAAGAAAACAATTGGTAACACACTATGCCGTGAAGGACTGAAATCTTGCAGTGCCCGCAAGGTCCCCTGCTCAAGAAAGCACATATACATGCCCGTCTGAAGTTTGCCAATGAACATCTGAATGATTCAGAGGAGAACTGGGTGAAAGTGTTGTGGTCAGATGAGACCAAAATGGAGCTCTTTGGCATCAACTCAACTCGCTGTGTTTGGAGGAGGAGGAATGCGGCCTATGACCCCAAGAACACCATCCCCACCGTCAAACATGGAGGTGGAAACATTATGCTTTGGGGGTGTTTTTCTGCTAAGGAGACAGGACAACTTCACCGCATCAAAGGGACGATGGACGGGGCCATGTACCGTCAAATCTTGGGTGAGAACCTCCTTCCCTCAGCCAGGGCATTGAAAATGGGTCGTGGATGGGTATTCCAGCATGACAATGACCCAAAACACACGGCCAAGGCAACAAAGGAGTGGCTCAAGAAGAAGCACATTAAGGTCCTGGAGTGGCCTAGCCAGTCTCCAGACCTTAATCCCATAGAAAATCTGTGGAGGGAGCTGAAGGTTCGAGTTGCCAAACATCAGCCTCAAAACCTTAATGACTTGGAGAAGATCTGCAAAGAGGAGTGGGACAAAATCCCTCCTGAGATGTGTGCAAACCTGGTGGCCAACTACAAGAAACATCTGACCTCTGTGATTGCCAACAAGTGTTTTGCCACCAAGTATTAAGTCATGTTTTGCAGAGGGGTCAAATACTTATTTCCCTCATTAAAATGCAAATCAATTTATAACATTTTTGACATGCGTTTTTCTGGATTTTTTTGTTGTTTTTCTGTCTCTCACTGTTCAAATAAACCTACCATTAAAATTATAGACTGATCATTTCTTTGTCAGTGGGCAAACGTACAAAATCAGCAGGGGATCAAATACTTTTTTCCCTCACTGTAGATACTTTTGTACCTGTTTCCTCCAGCATCTTCACAAGGTCCTTTGCTGTTGTTCTGGGATTGATTTGCACATTTCGCACCAAAGTACGTTCATCTCTAGGAGACAGAACGCGTCTCCTTCCTGAGCGCTATGACGGCTTCGTGGTCCAATGGTGTTTATACTTGCGTACTATTGTTTGTACAGATGAACATGGTACCTTCAGGCGTTTGGAAATTGCTCCCAAGGATGAACCAGACTTGTGGAGGTTTTTTTTCTTCTTCTTTTAATGTTCCCATGATGTCAAGCAAAGAGGCACTGAGTTTGAAGGTAGGCCTGGAAATACATCCACAGGTACACCTCCAAATGACTCAAATGATGTCAATTAGCCTATCAGAAGCTTCTAAAGCCATGATATCATTTTCTGGAATTTTCCAAGCTGTTTAAAGGCACAGTCAACTTAGTGTATGTAAACTTCTGACCCACTGGAATTGTGATACAGTGTATTATAAGTGAAATAATCTGTCTGTAAACCATTGTTGGAAAAATTACTTGTGACATGCACAAAGTAGATGTCCTAACCGACTTACATTTTACATTGACATTTTAGTCATTTAGCAGACGCTCTTATCCAGAGCGACTTACAGGAGCAATTAGGGTTAAGTGCCTTGCTTAAGGGCACATTGACAGATTTTTCACCTAGTCGGCTCGGGGATTAGAACCAGCGACCTTTCGGTTACTGGCACAACGCTCTTACCCACTAAGCTACCTGCCGCCCTACTTGCCAAAACTAGTTTGTTAACAAGAAATTTGTGGAGTGGTTGAAAAACGAGTTTTAATGACTCAAACCTAAATGTATGTAAACTTCCGACTTCAACTGTATATATAATTAGAGGGGATAAAAATAAAAATAAAACAGTGTTGAATGGCTGAGGTGCTTACCTCCTTTGTTATGGTCCATGGGGGGTCCACCTGGTGCAGATTTGGTGGGCTCTCTCACTGCCTTCTGTGTAGTAGGCTCAGGTTTGGGGGGCTGAGGAGGCTCTGGAGGCAGGGCAGGCTCAGGGGCGGAGGCCGGCGGCAGTGGTTCCTCGGCCGCCACGGAGGCAGCCTCGTTGGCCATGGAGCGCGTGGTGATCCTTCCCTTGCGCCGGCCCTGGCTGTTGGCGGTCTTTCTGCCGCGCGGCGTGTTCTGCTCCTTTCCGTCCTCGTCCTCCCCACCGTCACACTTGTCTTTGTCTTTGCCGATGTCCCTGAATGGGGGAGATGGGGGCAAAAGGTTTAACCTCAACATAGCATGGCTGGTAGCATAGCATCAATAACACATCATTAACATTGTGGGTCAAGGGGATTCTGCAGTTTAAAAGCATGAATGACAGTACTGTTATAAATTTTTTGGTACATTTTGACATTCATTTGTTTTATATTCTATTTAACTCCTACCCAATGAACATTTTCATAAACTGTACAAGCCTATTGTTTTGCACAGATGAATGCTTAGGAAAAAGCCATTTGCAGAGTCCCATCAACTGGATTTAAAAGTCAATTTTCATTAGCAGGTTTGTTTTACAGGCACTTGCGTTTCTCATTTGATGGTTGGTTAGGACACATGAGTCATGACTAACTGCTGCCCACGGATCCAGATGGGTAAACAGGCAGGAAGTCATCTGGCTACTGGCTTAGAGTTATGGGGCCAAGATGGCCGCCACGCTCTCCTCTCCTCCCCTCTCAGAGTCAGCTCTTTCTCAATTCGCAATTCCTTGATTCCTCACATCCTTTCTCCATCTCAAAATTCATTGGAGGAGAACGTCCAAGGGAGAGAGGGACACGAGTAATCAAGGAAAGATGAATTGAGAAAGAGCCAGAGAGTGTTTGTAAGAAAGAAGTAAACATAGGCCAGGTCTGAGAGGGAGGAGTACCTTCCTTCCCTGAAGAGCAGAGTCAGTAGACAAGGTCTGATTTCCATTTAGTCCTTGAGGGAGCATTTCAAATACCATTCTGCCTGGGTTTTTTAAACTACAGCATTCAGTCAGTGGGTGTTATGGTCAGCCTGGCCATCACGCCAGAGAACGGCAGTGGTTCGCTCCCTCTCGCTTTCTCTCAGTCTCTCACTCTCTGGCTCCGTCTCGCTCTGGCTTGATTTACAACACATCTAAGAGGGATGCTGATCCCTGCGACAAGGCTCCAGAAGTTCTGTTGCCTCAACTGAAAGCTACAATTTACTGCGAGGTACAGATTCTCCCTAAAAGTGTCAGAGGGGGGTCAGGACCAAGGCTGACTCTAGCTAGGGCTCTAACAGCAGTACCTGTGGGAAACCCATGTGCACGTGTATACGCAAGTGTATATGCACACACACACACACACACACACACACACACACACACACAGCTATTCAAAACTCACCTGGAGTCCTCCTTTTCATCTTTCTCTTCCTCTTCCTTATTCTGCTCGTCCTCTTTTTTCTCTGACTTCTCCGATTTCTCCTCTTCGATTTTGTCGTCTGACTTTTCTTCTTGTGAGGGTCGTGTTATTTGCTAGAAAAAAACAGCACAAGGATATACACATTTTAGCTGACTTTATTTTAAATTGGTAAACATATACCTGCCAACTCTTGAGTTGAGTTATCATATAGGGAGATTCTCTCAACTCTCATGATGTCAGACAGAGAGCAAACTCATCATGACGCATAGCACCTCACTTGGAGTTCAACCTGAGCCAGAAAGTTTACAACAAAACCTTAAGGCAGCCCACTGCTCATTCATGTCGTTTTGAAAGTCTGGCCGTGTTTGAATTCCTATTTAGTGACTGACTGAGTGGGGCTAATGAGGCACACAGCTAAAACTGCACGCCATGACCCACATCCCTTTAAGGCAACAACAACACAATAGTGGTGTGCTAGAATAATAAATACCCTTTAGGAAACTAAGGATTCAGAAGGAAAAATAACAGACACTGACAAGAAAATATCAAAGCAATACACTGACTGTCCTATAAATCACAACATCAACCTTAGAGCGACATATGGTCTATTTCATGGCCTATTAATGCACTCTCCAGCCAAGGTAAGCTACAAATCACACAACAGTTAAGTCCATCTGTCCATCCACCTACATTTACTGTTGCAGCAAATGCCCAGCCTCACACTGTCTGACCCCTCATGCATACAGAAGAGTGCTACAGGACCACTGTAAAAGACGCTAAAGGTTCACTGTGAAAGATGCTAAAGGTTCACTGTGAAAGATGCTAAAGGTTCACTGTGAAAGATGCTAAAGGTTCACTGTGAAAGATGCAGGAGTGGTCTGCTGCTTAATTCTTCAGACTAAAAGAGAGAGCAGACGGACTGCCCCACTAAGTGAACAACAGTACAATGTCATAATGTGATAAGCCTAACTGCCCTAGGGTTATTCCCCCGCCATCAGGGCAGTCCAATTTCCTCAAAGCTAGCTAACCAGATAAGAGAAGAAAGGGAACCAGACAGAGGGAAAGTGGAGTGGAGTTTAACAGCCTGGTCATGCACCCAGTGTAGATAAGATTATGACTATGACCTCCTTTGATGATCTTCACATGAAGAGAGTGTCCATAGGATCATGACACACACACACAAACAAAATAAGTACAATACAAGCCATTGTTCCCCCCGAAGTCAGCCTGTGTAGAATATCAAAAGCCTCACATGATGACTAAATGAAGAGAATTACAGTGAAATAGATGGGGTGAGTGAGAGGGTGTCCGGGTCCTGAACCCACAACCACCCCAACACGACCCGACTAAGAGAAAGCAGAGTTCATGTACTCAATCATTCAAGTCATTACGATTGCCCATGATAATTAGTAATCACATTAGCCTACAGCATGAATGCAGATACTGTACAAACCAAGCTTTTCTTTTGCAGACACCAATCAATATAACTTTTGGCTACAAAAGTCAACACTGATGAACTGATGATGCACCGATGAGAAGGATCTTAATGTTGTATTTTTGTTTATACTATACCAAACTTTGCCCTCACAACAGTCTCAATTCGTCGGGGCAAAAGCGTTCCACAGGGATGCTGGCCCATGATGACTCCAATGCTTCCCACAGTTGGCTGGATGTCCTTTGGGTGGCACCTACTACCATACCTCGTTCAAAAGGCACACGTCTTGCCCATTCACCCTCTGAATGGCACACATACAGAACCCATGTCTCAATTGTCTCAAGGCTTAAAAATCCCTCTTTAACCTGTCTCCTCCTCTTCATCTACACTTATTGAAGTGGATTTAACAAGTGACATCAATAAGGGAACTGTACTGAAAGAGCAGATGTTCTTAATGTTTTGTATACTCAGTGTGTGTGTGTGTATATTTCACATAGTGAATGTTCATAAAACATAAGCATACAAATTAAGTGGTAATCCTTTTCGATGCATTCACTAACAACAGTAGATACTAGATAATAGAACTCCTGGGTCAGACGCAGATCTGGGTCAGAAGCAAGTCCAGCAGAGTGATTGAGAATAGAGCAACATTCTTTATCATCATTACTGGCAAGGGATACCACCGACTCCCTCCCCCTCTGCCTGATCCACGAAAGTGCTGTGCTGGAACAAGTCTGGCTATGCCAAACCAAACATCCCATGCTGCTACCAGATGGGGCCAAGGAAGGTCAAAAACCCAATGGTGAGCAGAGGAGAGAAGGAATGAGTCAGAGAAAAGAAAAGGAAGGAAGGAAAGAGAGAGAGCATTTTAAAAAAAGAGGGACAAGAAAAGGATGAGTTTGACTGCATGAAGATGGACATTGGGGGGTGGGCTCCCTCTACAGACAGAACATAATATAGAGACCACTTGGCCAAGTAGACGTGGGTTGTGTTCAGCAAAACAAAACACATTTGCAACAAGAAAAATTCAGGTTATAGGCTACCTCCCTGTTTCACTCTATTTAAAACGTTTCAGTTCACTATTACAGTTATTCCTATAATAGTCCTGCATTTGTTTTGGAGGCCGTCTGCGCACCACAATGGCATTCCTGCCTTCTCTCCCCATTCTGCTCAAGTGCTTCCAGTGCTGCCTTCCACACTACAGATGTTCTCCAAAACTCAATGGAGCCCTGTGGTTTGCCATGTTTTTAGATTTTTAGCTTTTTGAATATTTTCAGTCCCCCCCCCCCCCCCTCTCCCTTGCTCTGTTTTAGCTGATTCACTAGCGCTGCTCGAGTTAAAATGACTGAACCCCAAGCCTTTTCCTACCCTGGAGTTTTTAATGGGGCATCAGAGGGATCACACACACACACACACACACACACACACACATAGTCACTGTTATCAACAAACTGCAATAAGAAAAGGGAACAGGGATCTCCCGAGTGGCTCAGTGGTCTAAGGCGTCACAACAGATCCGTGTTCGATCCCTGGCTGTGTCGCAGCCGGCCGCGACCGGGAGACCCATGAGGCGGCGCACAAATGGCCCAGCGTTGTCCGGGTTAGGGGATGGTTTGGCCGGCTGGGATGTCCTTGTCCCATCGCGCTCTAGCGACTCCTTGTGGCGGGCCGGGTGCATGCACGCTGACTACGGTCGCCAGCAGTACGGTGTTTCCTCCGACACATTGGTGCGGCTGGCTTCCGGGTTAAGCGAGCAGTGTGTCAAGAAGCAGTGCGGCTTGGCGAGGTTGTGTTTCGTAGGATGCATGGCTCTCGACCTTCGACTCTCCCGAATCCGTACGGGAGTTGCAGCGATGGGACAAGACTGTAACTACCAATTGGATATCACGAAATTGGGGAGAAAAAGGGGTAAAAAGTAACACTAAAATAAAATAGAATAGACTGTTCAAAAACACCCAACTACTTACTATCTACCGCTAGCTATACAATCGTCTGCCTATAATTTAGTTTGGTATGACCTTGACTTCAATGGGGGGAAACAGAATAACCCTTTCAGAAAACACTCTCCATCTACAATTCAGTCTGATTTGGTTTCTTCGCCAAGAGAAAAAATACTTGACTACTATCTACAGCTAGCCATCTAACCCACTTAACTACAATTCAGTTTGGTTTGACCTTTTACAATCCTATGAGCCAATAGGCTAATCCAATTAGACATTTTACTAGAATGTCTGTCCTGCACTGCACTCCAGACCTGGGTTTAAATACTATTTGAAATAATGTATAATACTTTATCAGTGCTTTATTGAGCTTGCATGGTTTAATGGACAAAGAGAATAGTCCCAAAACTGCAAAACCCACCCATCTGGCACTCCTGGCAGGCTAGAGCAAATGCTCAAAGTATCTGAAAGAATAGTATTTGAACCTAGGTCTGACTCAAAAACAGTGGCTCATTCACTCTTAACCTGCATGCCATGATCCAGGATCCAGTTCACTGTGCCAAGTAGGCACCTGGACATTTAGGTTGAGGGCAAGGCTTGGCTCTCTTCGCATCAGTATCCAAAGCTAATGGGATCTGCTTGACTGCTGCCAAGCGATTAAGATGAAGAAAAAAACAAGGGAGAGAAACCACTTCTTCTTGCCATAGCATGTACAACAAAAGGAAGCATTATTGAGAGTAGTGTTAAAGACAGACGTGGGAATAGCACTGACTGATTTCCCTAAAATTAACATTTTCAACTGTCTGCAATGTATATTTCTCCACTTCTTCTCCTGCCATCTGTGTGAGTGAGTGTAAAAGCCTGCCACTTGCTGTAGACGAGAGAGTAACATCCGTATGGCTTTTATTGAGGGTAGTAATTTCCATGTAAACTTCACAGGGATTTGGTTCCAGCTCGTTGAACTGAACTCCTGTCTAGGTCACCTTTACGACTCCATGACACACACACACGCACGCACACGAACCCTTTGGCCCTGGAGGACGTGGCTGGAGGAGAAGGTCAGCAGCCTCTGCCACCTCATGAAATAACTGCCATTCCAGTCAGAAGCCGCACAGCCATTTCAACATGCCGCATGGCCATGCAGGCAGCCAAGGAGAGAGACACACAACAGGTCTGGTGGCGAGACAGCCATTTTGGAAATACAAGTGTAATGTGGATACTTTTTTTGTATGCTTTTCTCCAATGTACAATTGGATGGCAATTACTTTTAACGCAATAACTATGAGCTACTACTATTTCAAAAACAGATCCATTCTACATCCATATTGTCTACTATGAAAATAAGAGATTTCAATAAAAAGGAATCGTCACACTACCACTTTAAAATGTTATTGAGTCTTGACTAGAGATAGAGTTAACTAAAGAGGGGAAAAGCATGCAGTCCCAGTGCTCTGGTTACTGGGTCAGTCCTGAACATGAGGAATGATAGAAAGGGAGAAAATGACTCACACAATCTCTAACAGGGGCTGCTGAAGTTCTTCTCCAACTCTATTTGTAGGCAGCGAGCACATTTGTGCAAGCAACTAACCTACCGTATATCATCAACAACAGCAAAAACCAGGCACCGTGCACTGCAGCCATGATTGTGCAACAGTACAGAAAAAACTGGAACTGTACTGAAATCCACACAGTGTTCCCTGTTGTAACTTTAAATGTGCGTTATAAGTAAGGTTAAATGCAAGCAACTGTGGCTGTCCAAGCAACTGAAAGAGAGCGGGAGGGAGAGCAAAAGAGCACGAGGAGAGAGAGAGAGAGAGAGAGAGAGACAGACAACACACCACAGTACTAGTTTCAAAGTCAGCAGCGACATACCTGCAAGCTCATTTGTCTGTCATAAGAACCCTGTTGCCCCTGAGCAAGCCACAGCCTATAGGCGTAGCGGGTGTGAGTTTGGCCGGACCCCCGGTAGCGGTAGTGGTACCTCCATAGCAGCGGTACAGATACAGCAGGACAGCAGCACCAAAGCAGAGCTCCTTAGAAGGGCTGCCTGGCCCCGGTACTGCCGCACATATTCCAGGAAAGCATGTCATCAGGCCGTTTAAGCCGCCTGAAAAATCGCCCATCTCACATGCACACTCTAATCTATGGGGGGTTACTCAAGGTAATCCCTGCTGAGCGCTTCTCTTTGATTGGCACTCGCAGCAGCATAGCAAGTTTTTTGGGCCTGTCATATCACTGGGGCGTACCACTCTGCTTTTACTGGGGGGGTTGGTTGTCTCTCTCGCTCACCGACCGGGCAAGAAAAATAAAAAGGAAACGGAAAGAGGGGGGAAAAAGTTTAGCAAAAATGAGAGCTTATACAAGCTGGCTAGCCAGCCCCCAGTGCAGACTGTCAGTGTTTTTTCCTCTTTCTCCTTTTCTCTCTCTCACTCTTTTTCCATTGCTCTTGCGCTCTCACTCACTCTCTCCCTCTCTCGCAAGTCACACTACACACAGTCTCTGGGGAATTTCAGAGAATTTACAAAAGCTCCAGCCAACGGCTTGTTTGGATCAGCATAACGTCCGGCCTGGGCAGGCTGAGCTGCTTTCCACCCAATGATGAGGCCTTGGCATTTTCACTTCACTGTCAATGGGCAGTTTAAATGCATACCGTAATACATGACTGGATGTTTACTTTATCCAACTTTATTTAAACAGGCAAGTCCGTTAAGAACTAATTATTATTTACGAAGATGGCCTGTCAATAATCAATGATGCATTCAAACACATTGTGCCCTGTAACACAAAGTTCACACCGACGTTATATAAAGCCCTATTACAGAATAAATGACTGGCTAAATGCATTTGCATATAAGGTCATAGTGGCTCTGTGCTCTGGCAGAGCTAGGCTAACAGTTGTGATTATTGGACTGATTATGCTGAGGGCTGCTGGACAGTGGACACATCTTGCCTCCAGTGACCCCAAAGCCAAACTTGTGATCTGTCCTCCTGGCTCCCAGACAAACAGAGCCTTCTCTGTTGTTGTTCAAATACATATCAGATGATCCAGGGTTAGTGGAGGCTGCTGCTTGCATAGACTGAAATATAGTAACACAGTCGCTTCCTCCAACTATTTATTGAAGTTGTCAGAAGCCAGACAATCCTTCAATGAGCTCTCAAGTAGTAGCAGCAGGAATGTCCACTGACTTGACACACAAACACACTGGTTTATTCTTTGATCAAGTAGGAGAACTTCATAAACACACACACACACGATTCTAACCATCTACAGTGGTTCAGAAGTAGGGAAGTCCATTCGGGGTTCCACCCTGTAGTTGTACTCTGTTACCCTGCCAGGCAAGGTAAGACTGATGAAGGTCACCAGGAAGTGGGAAACACACTAGTGAAAGGAGCACGATGTCACTTATGAAATGTGAAGTAACGTCCTATAGCTATTAAGATACCGTTAATACAACTGCGCCACGCCAACAATTTCTGTGTAAACTGAGTGGGATTGTCAACATTTTACTAACGACGTTTTACCATACCGAGTAGTATCGTGATACAACAGAGTTTGCCACGCCCCTCCCAGGACGCCTGTTTCCCTTTTCTATACGTTCTGCACAAAAACCTGTCCCTGATAGTCACACCTCTACTCAATACAATACATGTACTGTACAATAGAACAGGCTACTGCAGAAAATAGCTGATTTGCTCATATCCAAAGGCCTACCTGTGATTGGAAAGAAGGACTGTAGTAAGGAATATAAATGCATAATGATCTGCATTTTCATTGTGGCAGTAAGAGTTAAAACACACTAGGCCTATATGAAACAACTTGACACACATAGCCCTCTTTCCCCCTCTCTCTCTCTCTGTTATCAAACCAACAACTTGTGGCCATGAGTAGTATAAAACGGCCCATGACATGGTTTATAAAATTATATAAAATGTGTGCCAAATCACAGTAGAAAGGGGAGAAGGTAGCTCCGGTAATATGGGGCATAACCTTTGAGTGGTTTTCACTGTGCTCTGTTTTTCCTCTATGCCAGGGGCACTCAGAGGCTGCTTGACAGTGAAGGCTAGTCAGACTGGCCTTGCTTGTTCTTACCGGTGAAATGAAAAGATAGGTATCCACTTAGCTCGCGCTGCGAGCCGCTCCAATAATTGAACAAATGTAACAACAGAAACCCCATCACTGCCTGCAAACCCCAGCTCAGCATCACGGCTAAATAACATTTAAAACCTGATGGAGATGTGCAGAAAGAACAGACGGAGAGAAGCAGCTGAGTAGGCTAATGGCTGGTTGGGGATGCGGCTGGATGCTCACAGCTGTCACACATGATATCAGAATGCTTCATCCAATAAGACACATCTGACATCACACTCTGAACTCTATTTGATATTCTATTTGTAGGACACTTAGCATTCTGCGCTCAGTCATTAATTGAGAGAGAGAAGGTAGTGATCACACGGAGAGGATCTGTTCGCGCCTATCTTTTATAGCTCAATGGGTGATGCATTCTGCGTCTGAACACTTTTCATCAGACTCTATTTTAAGTTCAAAACTGTGAATTTCGCCGAAAAGTGACGTGTTTGCATCCCTGTGTTATGTCTGAGAGGGAGAAGATGAGAAGAGGTGGACTGGTGAATCAAACCCTGTTCTCCAGGTGGTGGGCGATATTTGGTCTGGAGGCGGCAGGCAGCACTACCGCTAGATCAACCGATTATGACGTCTCTGATGTGGTCCCCCTCCCTTTTGGTGCTCTGCGCTTCCATGACCAGATCTATGTGTTTGGTTGGCTGGAGCCATAATCCATACATAGACAGAATGTTCTGTACATACAGGGCCAGAGCCAAATGCATCAATGAGTTGCACATACAGGGGCCAGAGGAAGGGCCAGAGGCATTGATGAGGTAGAAAAGCCCCATAGGGAAAGCCGAGGCAGTCTATCCTCCTGGTACACAGCCATTGGAGAGAGGAGAGCTCAGACACCACACGAGCTGATAGGGAATGAATGATGTAATCAGCTGTTAGATCTATGCTGGGGATTTCATAACAAGGTTAAATGTTAGTCAGAAAAATCAGTCACAGGTGGTGATGAGTCATGGTGATGATCGATCATCGACTCACTCGGCATCCAAAAGGCATAGACACAGCGTTCAGCGTACAACAATTCACAACATTTTTTCCGCCTTTTCCTTATATCTGAAAGGTATTGCCGGTATCAAAGCCAAAACCTTTGTTTCCGCCTAACGACCTAGTAATTATTTCGGTAAACCTCTGCCTACGGCTTAGTATGAATCATAATGCTGAGGCGGCATTGGCACGCACTGTGCTCTTAGACTCCTGATGGTTGCTAGGCAGCGCCAGTTAACCATCCTCCTGCCAGTTCTAAACTTTGCGAGGCATGTCACTTCTCCCATCTCTTTGCATAGCGCGCCACTAAGCATGCAATTTTTTCTTAATCACAACTGGATGGATCCATAAAGAATTACTGTGGGAATAAATATTACTGAATAACGAAAATGCTAATGCTAATGCAATTGAAGGCATACAGTGGGGTATTTGATACACTGCCGATTTTGCAGGTTTTCCTACTTACAAAGCATGTAGAGGTCTGTAATTTTTATCATAGGTACACTTCAACTGTGAGAGATGGAATCTAACACAAAAATCCAGAAAATCACATGACAACGGCCCGAAACACACAGCCAGGGCAACTAAGGAGTGGCTCCGTAAGAAGCATCTCAAGGTCCTGGAGTAGCCTAGCCAGTCTCCAGACCTGAACCCAATAGAAAATCTTTGGAGGGAGCTGAAAGTCCGTATTGCCCAGCGACAGCCCCGAAACCTGAAGGATCTGGACAAGGTCTGTATGGAGGAGTGGGACAAAATCCCTGCTGCAGTGTGTGCAAACCTGGTCAAGACCTACAGGAAACGTATGATCTCTGTAATTGCAAACAAAGGTTTCTGTAACAAATATTAAGTTCTGCTTTTCTGTTGTATCAAATACTTATGTCATGCAATAAAATGCAAATTAATTACTTAAAAATCATACAAAGTGATTTTCTGGATTTTTGTTTTAGATTCCGTCTCTCACAGTTGAAGTGTACCTATGATAAAAATTACAGACCTCTACATGCTTTGTAAGTAGGAAAACCTGCAAAATCGGCAGTGTATCAAATACTTGTTCTCCCCACTGTATATCAAATTGTTGCTTACTGAAACTCCCAAAGTCATCCAATCATTGTAATAAATTTGAAGCAATAGCCTACCCGTGTGTGGTCAACTACATTATAATTTCAGCACCACTTTGACTGGGACAGTGCCAACACGCTGCTTTGAGACAAGTGTGGGGACTCATCTTCATAAATCAATCAATGTCAGATTTTTGTTTTCACTGAATCTCTGTTTGTACATTGGTTAGGCTACAAGTAGGCTTGGAAATGTTAGCTAAGTTGAGGTGAGTGCTCCTCATGATCATCTTGTCTAGTTGGCTCATTTATTAGGACATTTTGCCAGCATGTTATGTAGTTTAACAAGTGGATTATTTTGCTCTTCACTCGCAGTCGCTTAGTAGCCTAGGCCTACTGCTGACCAAAAGCCTGTGACTTCCCTGACTCGTCTCAATCAATTGATTTTGTTTCACTGAATCTCCATCTGAATAGGCTATTTGGTTAATTGGTTTCTGGCTGGGCAAATAAGTGGAGGTGGTATAGCTCATCTATTCGTTTGCTCATCTATCACTGATCAGAAACATTTAGCATGCAAAAATGTAGCCCAAATCAAGTTTAGGCCTATTATTTAGCTTGATCACATACAGTTGAAGTTGGAAGTTTACATACACTTAGGTTGGAGTCATTAAAACTAATTTTTCAACCACTCCACAAATTTCTTGTTAACAAACTATAGTTTTGGCAAGTCGGTTAGGACATCTACTTTGTGCATGACAAGTAATTTTTCCAACAATTGTTTACAGATAGATTATTTTACTTATAATTCACTGTATCACAATTCCAAAGGGTCAGAAGTTTACATACACTAAGTTGACTGCCTTTAAACAGCTTGGAAAATTCCAGAAAATTATGTCATGGCTTTAGAAGCTTCTGATAGGCTAATTGACATCCTTTGAGTCAATTGGAG